ACACCCCCACATGACTTCTGGAGAATGACCATCCGTGAGTTCATTTTTAGGAAGAATCTTTGAGATATCCGGGGCCCTCTAGACAAAAACAGTTTAGTTTGATGAGCACCGTCTACTACATTGAAGGACCTATCCAATTGGTCATCTTCAAGGTCAATAGCATATTGATGAGGAGGAAGGACGACTTAATCTTTCCGCACTCATTCAAACGAAAATGTCAATCTTTAAAGGCCTAAATGAAACCCACCTTTCGTGTAGCAGATGCTAGAGCTGGTGTTGATGCTGCCGTATGGGAGGAGTGTTGGGCAGCGCCTAGAGGAGCACTTTCCTGGGTAGCTTTGACAGGAGGAATTTCTTGAAAGCAATAATTACATAAGAAATCCATCAGTCATAATTTAATTTATTAGTTAGGAGACACGAAATGAGAGGAAAAAGAAGGGGAATAAATATTCGTTGCCCACTCAATTTTCCACTCCACATCTAATGAGGAATTAAAGAAACGCAGAAGTTGCATCCCTGCCGTCTCGAATTCACCACTGCGGTGAATAAGAGCTTTTTTCCTCTTAAAGACAGGTCTTGGCGAAAAAAAACAAAGAAACGAGATCCAAATGACCTTCTTTTAGTCTGAAACACCCACTTGTTGACCTAATATTTCCACCGGATCGTAGGATTCCCAGGCGTAAGTGTTACACCCGCCTGAATTAATTGGGTCATAGCTGACTAGGATGTGTGAAATTATGGTAACGACATTATCTACTGGCATAGTCTGTATCAGCCATGCGGTGATGTATGTGAATAGTGCTGGTAGGGGTGAAGGGGATGTAGCTTCAAAAGTACCCACTTTGAAGCTGGTGACGAGTTTTCTGAGTCGGTCATAACTCCTGTGTCAAAGCTGTCATGCTAAAAAAGCACCATGAAGACAACTTCTCCCCTACCAACACGAACGGCTGTCGATGTGGGGAATCAAGATATCTAAATTAAAGAGCTTAGAAATGACACTTTTGGGCGATTAATTGTAGTGCCTTTCGGTCGTTTTCCAACCGAATGCTCTGAGTGGCTCCACAACGCAAGAAAGTTGGCTTTAGCACTCTTGTGCTCCTAGAAAGGGTAATGCTTTATGATTGCAAATGATGTGACAGACGGTGATGGCAATAACACAAATTTATTTGGTCTAAGAGGTCGTCCAAAGTCTAGGCCATTACTACGTAAACAAAGTTTGACTGCAGATGAACGTACCTAAATTTCTTATTTGTTCATCCCCTCGCACGATACAATTAGTATCAACCGAATTTTCTAGAAGAAAAAGAAAAAAGGAAGCCTAGCTATTGGAACAAAGAAAGAGAAATTGTTCCGTGGAGGAGTATCTTCTCTCATGGGTTCACAAATTCAGGGCCAAAAATCGACTCTACTCATCTAATGGTGGCATTGTGACTTCGACGCCACCTTTTTTTCAAGTGAGAACACAACAGGATGCTGCTGTGAAAATCACTTTTAGCCCTTTGAATATTGCATTCCTGCTTAGAATAAACTATTTATACAATAATGCTGTTGATAGGATCACCTACTATCGCTTGATGAACGTTCCTCCGTGACACGAGGAGCAACTTCTTTTACCACCGTAAGGGAGGGCAGACTTGGTGCTGTAAATCACCAAATAAAGGGAAATTTTAACTCCTTACATAACATTTTAAGCATTCATTACTCACATTGTATGCGGTCAAAAGGTTTGGATAGATTATACGAAGAGAATTAAAAAGTAGAATCGTTTTGAAGGAAAATGAGCAATTTTCGCCTAAGTCACTCGTGAGTGTGGGAGTGGGCAGGTGATATTTGCACGGCCCTGGCATTTAAATAAATACCTCGAGTAGATTTAAAGAATAAAAGGCAATGCTAACCTCTCTGGGATTTCTTTGCCAAGGAGCCGGAAACAAATTCATTCCCAACCCGATTCGGCGTAGGTGCTTTTGGTGTGAAAAAATTCTCCGAGATGGAGGCTTCTTCAAAAACATTCTCCCCTGATTTTATGGTTATCGCTGAGAATGAGGTTGTCAACAGATGATCCTCATCTATGCTCCATTGAGAACTGGTCTGTGAGAGGTTTTCTACACAACACGAAAGATCGCTCAGTAGTGACGTAGGAGGGCATTAACAGAGAGCCAAAACCGAACCTTAAGGTTTATTCATACGCCAATATAACTGACTACCTAACATTGGAGTAGATGCCAACTCCATCGTGCCAGCACCATTTTTAAAGGCCTTTAGGTTTATAAAGAAAATTAGGGACATTCAGTATATCAGTCAGTCTTCGGAGTCGATCCTCAGCCAGTTATCAATGGGAAATTAGGGGGGCTTTACTAAAGAAAGGAGTGAAATACCAGACAGTGTTTTTAAGAGTGATATAAATCCATCATCATCTTCACATTCTTACCTGATGAAAGTCGGTAATTTACACCTCCAAATTCCGTGCCGATAGCGCTATCCTGTTGGCTAAGTTGAGTGTAATCATCCGACGCATAAGAGCCCTTATGACTTTGGTTTAATCTAGGGGGTGGTGCATCGGGTGCCTTCCTCTTTTTCTATAAAAAGTGACATAAATCTGTAACACAGATTGGACACAAGGCGCAAACCAATTCATTTTCGTATAAAAAATACGAAAAGCAGGGGTTAGCAAATCAACATCGCGTTTGAAAATCCGAACAAAGCTATTTAGAAGTGGTGTTTACCCGTTAAAAATCCAAAGACATGAAATAAGGTAAATCTTACCCTGCCGATGCGGTGTGGTACCGACGACTTTGTGATTTCGGAGTGAACTCTGGAAGATTTTGAAAACTTGCTTGATAGACAATTGTTCCAGGAAACAAACTGTGAAACATCTTGTTTGGGAACACATTGTACATAGAGTCGGCGTTCCTCAGGAATGAATGAATTAGAAAATGACGCAATTTTTGAATTAAAAAGACACTCTGATATTCGTGTTGATGGAGAAGCGACCCTCCAGGAGAAGGCTTGTTGGTGAAATTCCTCACAGGGAATAAGAAATACGAAACGTTTGAAGTCCAAGCGATGATTTCTGCAGTAGTTTAATAACAAGTCGTGAAAATGTGTGGAGGCGTCGACATTATTAATAAAATGTGTTTCGTTTAAGTGCGAGTTTTTGACAACTACGCATACGCTTGAATCGACCATTTGGGAAACACGAGCTCTGGGTCCAAAAAACACTACACGTAGACAGCCTCAAGCGCCGCTAATAAATGCGACGACGTATGGAATAGTGCCTTTATCAGTTAATAGCACGTTAGAGAAACAAAACAAACTTAAAGGTCATAAGGTCTCAGAATAAACTGTTAAAAAATGCTTTGAAGAATTGTGAAAATTAAAAATTACCCTAAGGAGTTGTGAAGTAAGCTGCATATGTTTCACATCTACCTGTGAAAACTTGGTGCGAAATATGTGATAATTACAAATATATAATACATCAAGAGTGCAGACTGAATAACTCTGTCTAAAACTTTTGAAAGTAAAACATTTCTGTGACAGTGTTTGCAATACTTAAGTTGGTTGTTGGTTCCTGATTTCGATAGCGGTCTTCTTAGTGCTTCGCCATTGTAAATTCACTTATCCGCCTGGCATCTGGACCGTTCCAGAGGCCCTAAGGCTCGAGTGTAGGCCAGATACTCATATCCTGACTAGATATCATATCTTCTCCTTCTTCAGGGAAGTTTTGTGCACTTGAGCAAGAACTCAAAAAGCTCTAGATTTCCTACCATCATAATCAAAGTTTACTAAAATATTCAATATGGAAATAAGGCACCTGTGAACTATTGACAAAAAATCCCTTTATTATGATAGGTGACTTTTTTGGCTTACGTAAATGAATAATTGTACGTGGAACTTATTCTGTACATGCCATGTGTAAAGCTGCGAGGTATAAAATATGTAACCAGCCTAAGCAAGGACCAAGGAATTACTGTCATAGTCCAGGTGGCTGAATTGAAACATACAGGGAATAATGTGTCCAAAAGGATAAACAAAAAGGTAATCAAACTATGAATCAATGCGTAGCTGTGCAATGGTAAAAAGTATAAAATAATTACATTAGTCAGACGGCGAAGGAAAGTTGTAGAAGCTTGAAAAGGATAGGGCCGTTAGATGACGTTTTTTTTGCAGAAAAAAGATATGGATTGAAAATATGCCTGATCCTAAGGAGTTCCTTAACTTGCTTAATGGTATGCTGCTATATTTTTTACTCTATGTATGAGGTTTTTAGCGCTTAAGCCCTGACAGACTGTGTTTTTGGTCAACATGCCCTCTCACCCCTTCTGTAGATCAATGATATGTTCCCTGCAGTACTAGTGAAATACCTACGTTGTTTAAATGTGTTTCTCAAATAAAAAACGGATGTTTAAATAGTGCCTTGTGATTTAGGAGCAGTCAACATTCCCCAGACCGTCCCCTATTGACGCTAGAAAATAAAAGTTCCCAAACCCAATCAGTCTTGTCATTTCTAAAGAGTATGAGGGCTAGGGAGGGGGAAAATAGGGAGGTCGTGCCGTAACTGGTTCAAGTCCTTTTAATTTTTTGTATTGAGTGCGAGTCCCAGACTTATCTTGGTAAACTTGCTAGACTTATGCAAAAAACCAACCTCTTTCTGGGCGCACGCAAATTCTGTATATTATTGCCGTATTCTGCTTTGACGTGATTTCGTTTTTAAGCCTTTACTTTTAGGGCATTTGCAGCATATTTATCATTTGAGATAATGTGTTGAAGCCAAGGTGTGCTTTCTTAGCTTTATTTAACTTGGCGCCACAACTTTCCAAATAATCCTTCCACTATGTTTGAGAAGGTGCATTTTTAATCCGTTCCGACCACACTGTTAAAGCTTGTTAAATCAAATATAAGGTTTAGCTCATAGGCATTCCATTACCAATGCGGACAATTTTAGGAGGATCATTCAATATTTTAAGGATTCTCAAGGTTACACGGCGACTGAAAAACGCATTATACGACAACGGGGCCATTGATTGGATATTTTGGAATACCGCCTTGTTTTGGCTAATGTTGCTCGGCTGACTGGGAACTGAGTTATGGGGCGGAAATTGGATAGACGATGGGAATGCTTGTCACAACTCAGCAATCCAGATGAGGTTACTTTAGCCCATTTAAAGAAGTTCTACCGACTGGAAGACCAAGCATGTCCCCTCGACGCCTGCCGGTTTGCCTGTTTAATTCTCTTCTCAATTTCGGCGTTTAGACTTATGCTTTCCACTAAAAACACCCTTTTCTGCTCTCTTTTTGGATATTTTTGAGTGGAGATCTATAAATCTATAGCGATGTGTTAATTTTTGGCGATGAGCTGTATTCTCTTTATTATCTTATGGTGTACGATCATTAGGTTGTTTTTGACGAATTTTATTTTGACAGTTTTTTAATTATATATCTCATCTGTAGTACCTGTTAGAAGTACCTGCAATTTTTGGGGTCGAATCTACCTTCACTCAAATTTGTAGGGCGCCTTTTACTCATTCGCATTTCGTATTATCTCGTAGAAACGAGCATCTGTCTCTTTTCATCCAAACGATATTACATGTCTTTTATAGTACCGTTATTCTTGCATTATTTGGGCAAAATCATTCGTTTGAGATTTAACAAGATTTAAGAAAATTATCCGTTCCTATTTCCGTACTCACAGTTCCATGTGCAAAGGGAATACACGATGTCTGAACCACATTACTGACGCAGAAGAAGTCACAATTCCATCAGAAGATGTTGAGGAATTCTCGGATAACGTAAATGACATCGTATTAGTAAGACCTTGAACTGCTTCTCCTCTTTTCGTCCAAAAATTTTTTCCCAATTTGAAAATGGACCCTCTCTGGCTTAACAGAATCGCAGCGGCCTTCGAAACTACGGAAGCACCTGTTACCTTAATGCTTTTCTTCAGATCTACTTCCACTTTGCTGAGCTTCGCCAAGCCATCTACCAATTGCCTTATAATCGTAGGTTTCTTTTTATTCTCTTATTTTTAATAGTCTACTGCGATCTTCTAACTTTGTGCATGGTTGAATAATGTACCTCACAGAAATGCATCATGTACGTGATAGCCACAGCGCGTGATTCCTAGCCACTCTGTAAGGGTTTGTAGTGATGAATGCTGCTTAGTAAAACTCGTTATATGAAGTCAAGTCGGATGAGCGTACGGCTGAGTTGACCTACGTCTAATTACTTCTCTTCAGTTACTGATCTTTGCTTCCTTCCACGCCTCCCTGAACAGGTTGCATAAAGTTTCCATTTGCATTCTTAGCATTGCTCCATGTTTTGTCTGTCTGGATCGTTCACTTACTCGTGTCTGGCAACCTCATTGTCATTGCAGTTGGATAAATGTGTTTCCAACCTGGATGAAAAGTTGGACATTTTGTCGGTGGAACCTCATAAATAGTTGGCTAAAACGGGCGGGGCTTGTCGGAAAACCATATATAAATGTAGAAGTTGTGGCAGTCACGGGCTTTTTAGCGCGCATATGCTTCAGACAATTGGTGACAATGAGAAAAGCGCACATCCTGACGGTAATAAGTGTTTTCTAAAGAATATGCGAATAGATTAAATTCATTTCAAAGTAAATCGTGCTAAGGACACGTGCAAGTACATTACGTACAAGTACAAGTACATAACTAATAACGTCTTTTCTTTGATAGGGTAAAAGCATCTTGCAATCAAATATGGGTCCACCCTGGCGCCGTCATTAATTGAGTCGAGATTAGTTAATGATTACTGATAAAAGTAGGATGTATTCCCCGGTATCTGGTTAGATTCACTGATGTATTTGTGGTTGGGGAAATTAGTATCCTTAAATTCACGTCTCTTTCTCCTCCGTAGAATCCTTCCCCGAGGGCGTGGTCGAGCAGTTACAGTTGATCTTCAGCCAAATGCAACTCAGTCGTGAGGGGTGAGTGGCTAGTTATTTCAAGTAAGTCCATTTCTTTTATCCACCTACCCACGTGTATTCTCCTTGTTTCCTTTAGTCTTGTTGATCCCGGCGGTTTGATTGAAGCGCTGCATCTCTCAGAGCGTGATCAACAGGTAGGAGTTGTTTCCCTGTCTTTTGGCCGATTTGATTGACTAAATCGGATCGGGTAGGAGGGACAGTGGTTTATTTATTCCGAAAGAATTAACTTTACTGTAAACACCTATACCTTGACGAGTCCCTTACAGCACCGTAGTGATTGTAATCCCTTCTCTAGGCAACAAAAGTCTGCCAATTCCACTTTTAGCCCTAGAAACGGAACAAAAACGTAGCGTGAACTACGTGGGTTGGTGGAACCTTTCTTTCTTAGCACGTTAAGCGACAATTGCTTTAATCTATAATGCGGCTTGATGTGCCTTTCCTTGACTTAGTCGTTGCCGAACTGGGCCTTTTTCTTTGAAAACGTATCCAAATGGTGCCCTGTGTTATCGCAGTTCGCAACATCTCCAAATGCCTTGCGGCGAGGTGTAGAATAAGCTCCTGCGGCTTTGGAATCGAGTAAAACTCTTTTCTCAAAGAGTGTGTAAGCCCGTACAAGCTTTTTAGAATGTGTACATACAACCAAGGGCGTTTGGCGAGCCACACCGAATACCGCGCGAGAATTTTTTAATCACTTGATTTTATTGTAAGGCACGTGCAGTATACCTTGTCAACAAACCTCTACGTTTCCCTTTTTAATACGGAGTTTGGATTACTAAAAATTTTCTTTCTCTTGAAAACTGTAGGATGCGCCAGAATTCCACAGCCTGTTTATGAGCCTCCTTGAGACTCGCTTCTCCTCCGTCGGTCAAACAGTCATCCGCGATCTTTTCCAGGGCTCCTGTGTCTACGAGACTCGGTAACTTTTGTCCTTCTCTCTTTGCCATTCCGTTATCGCCCTAGAACTTTATACCTTCCCTCCTTCCACTCTTCATAGCTGCCAGATATGTGGATTTGTGTCTCGACTTCCCTCACAATTCCTTGAACTCGATATCAAGGTCGCCACGGGCCGCCTTGAAGAATACATCCAGAAATATCTTGCTGTAGGTTTTGACTAATAGTCATTGAATATTTCATATCTTGCATTAGCTTTAATGTAAATATGCGCAAGGGCTGCGGACCAATGTTAGAGACAGGAGGGGATATGCCTAAAATTCATTCATTGGGGATTAACTATAAACGCTGCTTTGTCGAATGATATTGCTTTATCTCCACAAGTGGATGATGGTTGCAGGAGGAGGAACTAACGGGCGACAATCAGTACGCCTGTCCGCAGTGCGCCACGAAGCGGGACGGGTCACGACGAGTGCGCATCACGGCGACACCACTGATGCTGTGCATCCAACTCCTTCGCTTCAACTACGATCAGCGTCTTGGCCGACGGGTGAAGCAGGCGGCTCCAGTCCGTCTTCCTGATCTCCTCGATATGACACCCTACATCTCGCCGGGTTGGTGAGACTTGAACTATAAAGAAAATGCAATTTTTTTGGTAAAAAGTAGAAGGGTGGAAACTACATGAGGGGCATCCAAGTCACTCCGAGACTTTTAAGGCAAATTTTCATCGAGATGTAACTGGATATGCTTTTTCACGTAGTTCCCGTTCACATTTATTCAATTAGATCAACGTTGGACACAGGGAGATTTATCACTGTCCTTGAGCTATCTCCAAACATCCTGCCTCATTGTCTGGCTATCCAGGGTGCGATAGTATCAAAATTGGAAATATCCGTATTAGCGAATTTTCACTGTTAATCTTTGCCAGGAAGGGTTAGTCTTTTGCACAATGTTACAACGGTAAGACATGCCTCGATGAGGTGTCACGGATGCGTCTGACTGTTCACATGGCTACCTATCGAGGCTGTGGGCCAGGTTGCGAGCATGAAGTATGGGGAGGAGAAGAATTATCTTGTTGACACACTCAGGAAAACCCTCAGTACTTCCCAAACTTGACAACTGTGTCGTTTTGAAAAGAAGCTATCGAAGAGACCTAGCCTGATCTTCTTCGTTTATTTTGAATTATTTGGCGACTGCCGCGCTGAAATGCGGTCTCCAAGTCACCGTGATGAGAAGTTGAGGTGGTTTGAACGGGGCTTGTCTTCCATCACGTGTCGTGGGTTTCAGATTGGAAGCTTTTTTGTGTGAGAGCTAAGGAGGTATTTTCTCCCAAAATATTAATTTATGTATATCCTGCCGTGTCTTGACTAATGGAGCAACAAAAAAGAGATCTAAGTGTTCAGCGCCCGTGTAATTGGCTATCTCTCGAAATCGTTTTATTAAGTCTAGCTGTTAACCGCAAAAATTGATCAAACCACTGAAACTGACTGTGAATAAGTAGTATAACACGTGCCACTTTGGTGCAATAAAAGGCAAAGGGGACTCCCTTTTACTATTCAACATTACTGGAGGTACAATTGGCACTCGTTTCTTCCGCATTGTTAAGAAAACAATTAGTTTGAATCCGGATCCTTGAGCGGCGCTTGTTCCCGCCGAGCTTTTTTGGTTGGAAGTCGTTTCGCACCTCGCATAAATTCCTTAAGGTTAGAAGTGTAAATCATCAGTGTTAAAGAGCTGGAACCGCTTTCCCATCGAAATTCGATTGGTTGATGTAATTGCAGTTGACCTTCGCTTAACCAATCAACTTTTTGCTAGGACATTTTTTAACTTGCAAGGTAGTGGCACCTACTACAGGCGATTTATTCCATCTTCCAGAAGATTTGCACTCCAATTACCGGACAACTTTTTTCTACCTCTGTTCCTGTTACTGGTTTGTGCCTTCTGATGTTGGAAATCTATTCCCACTCACTAAATCTGTTCTCCGCCGTCTTGGAATAATGTTTTTCTCTATTCGTGAAAGAGGTTCAAGAGTCGTGATACTTCTATCAAGTGTTGCATGTGATTGTCCAATGCCGAAAAGGGGTGAGGATCCCCCTCTGGGAAAACACTATCAGAGGAACAGAGAGGATGAGGTGTGGCAATAACTCCCTACCTTTTCGCGGGCAAGTTTTGCCCAATTTCGTGTAAGGTAGTGAGATTTTGCGTTGGCTTGTACGAAAAGGAATAGGGTTTCCCTTCGACTCATTTAAGGGAAATGCTTGCTTATCAAGGGGAATTCCCTTGCACATGTTTGAGGTGTTTTGAGTGGATAGATCTCAGCCATAACTGGCTGTCCTTCGGCAGATAGACAATTCCTCCCGCTGCATAATGGAAGATTTAACTGTTTTCTACTTACCCTGGAAATCTTCCAATGGCTGAATTGTTCTTTCCGCCTAGCCTCGTCCATTTCGCACCTCGCTGCCTCTTGGATGTAATCGTTTCATTGCCTTTGAATCCAAATTTTATATTTTCAAGTTCAACATTTTAGAAGACCCATCCAGTCCGACCGAAAACAACGAAAAGAAGCGTTTTCTTTATCGCTGCTCGGGTGTTCTCCTACACCTCGGGCGCTATTCAACCTCTGGGCACTACATCGCTGTAGTACGCTGTTCCGATGCTGACAAGGACTTCTGGAAGGTTTGCAACGATGAGCGGGTAATTTGACAGAACCTTTGCATCAGTTGAAAAAGAAACTCCGGGAAGGTCATTTTTTAGCTTGGAGTAGTCTCGGGGTTTTTATTAAGCTAAATTTCTTTCATTCGAAGTTTGAAGTGTCACATTTAGAAGGACAAAGCGTTTTATTACTCATTTTTTCGTTGCCTTATGTGTAAAAGGCTTGTTCAGAGTGGCTAATTTTTAAGAACCCCTCATCGGATGTGTTTCTAAATCTTCTGAAGGTGTTCATCAAGATTTTACGCTATTCCACTCATTTTAGAAGTTGTTAAAATTAGATAAAGAGCAATGACTGGTTACCTTTTCTTTAACGACTGGTGTCCTAGGGCTAAGTACCCACTGTGTCAGCTATGCGCTGGGGATTGGGGGGTAGAAAGCGGATGTATGCCAGAGTGGATGCCGAGAGCTACGCGTGTTCTATGCGAATTGGTTTGCAAAAGTCAAGTGGTGTATTGTGCTGAGTACTGTGGGCTGGTGCGCCGAATCATCTACGGGTAGCAGGTTCACCCTCATCAAATTATTTGTGAATGTACTGAATTGAAGTGGTGTGTTAAGTGCAGAGGCCTTCTAGATGTCCACATAGCCATAGCCATGAATGAATAAAGAATTCCTGGCAAGTGGTAATTTGACAAGTTGCATGGAAAGTGTCGGCGTAAGATCCACTGCGACGATTGTCAATTCATCTCTGAAGAGGTAATCAGGTCTCTCGGTTTGAAAAGACTTTTTGTCGGTATACAGAAGGGCTGGAGAGGTGTTAGCAGGAACGACTGAAGAGTCGGTGTAGTTAATTGTTTCAGCAATGTTTGCTCTGAATTTATGTAGGTCTTCACCGTTCCTGTGGACGAGTTCGACCTTTCTAAAGTGAACACGACTGCCACCAGTGCTACAAGTGTCCGTTCCACTCCGAAGAAGCCCGCCTCTGTATCGAGTAAACCAGCGCCAATGGTAATCGACAGCGATACAGTTGAAAATGACAACACTGCCAATGTGGACGGTGATAATGTCTATCATGTCTCACCCTCCGCCTACATGGTCTTCTACCGTCTGGTCGAGGCTGATGACGCGCCGATGAATAATGGTGAGTTCCTCTTGATGGTAATATTCGAGTCAGTTTGTACTCCTCTGTATAGAAGTGCCTCGTAGCCCTTCTTCATTCAGTACAAAACCATGTCCACCAAATTTCCTGACATCTGATGCGTTTGTCATGTGACCGCGAGAGTTCCTACATTCGTCGGCATTGGCTTGTTGTGACACGTTGGGATCAACAAATGGCAGAAGGCCGAATTGAAGCCTGTCTACCCAATACGATACAGCGCGAAGATGTGCAATGAGGAGTTCTTGGGAAGCAGCCAGGAGTCATGAAACAGTCGGAAGAAAGTCCCCTGCTTAGACAATAACACAAGACCTTGTCGCTTCAAAACCTACCCATGCTATGACCTCATTATTGAGCTACACGGACTTCGAAACGCTCTGTCGTCCGTGCATCCTTTTTTCTTGCAAGTTGAGACACTCTTAGTCCAATCCTTTAAATTAGGTTGCTAGCAGTCGTACGAAATGTTGCTTATCGGCTTGTACTTTCCTCTCCCTTTCAGGTCCTGCGATGGAGGTTGATGTTCCGGACCATCTTCGTCGGGTTGTTGATGCGACTAATGTGGTGTTTACGATGGAGAACCTAAACAGGCGTCTGGAAAAGGTACACCTCCTCTTCAGCTATCTCTTTTCTCTGTAGTTGTCAACTCTGTTATCAGTGTCGGTTGGACGAATTTGGCTCATTTCATCTAGGTTTTGCTAGGCTCGAAGAAAGTGCTTTCCAAGGCAACGTTTGAGATATCTCTGAAGCATTTTGGAAATGGAAATGATCAACATGTCGAAAGCCATCAATGAATGCGGTACGGTATTGGGACGTCCAACTGCTCAGCAGTAGTATAACATTTGAATGGTGTGAGCGTTTGGAAGATGATTAGTCGTATGTCTGTGCGTGATTGACGACCTAGACAGTTGCGGTAGTCACTCCCCTGAACAGTCAGCCAACCTGCCATCGCTTTGTCCTGGACGTTGATACTCCTTTCATTTTGTTCCATGTATCAGGTGTTGCCCAGGGCGTTCTTGAAAATTCAAAATCCATATGTGAAAGATATGCTTAATCTTTTCCTTTAGATTGAACAGAAACAGCTGACACTTGGTCGGATAATTCTGCGGCGCTACATTCTTGAACATCTTCGCACTGTCACGGGAAAGGAGTTACTTCCACGGAAACGCCGGAAGCCGAATTCCTCCGTTACCAGCAATGATGATGCCAACGATGTTGTTAACAGCACTGTCAACGTCGTTGATTCAATTGGTGACGATCCCGATGCCGAAGACTCCACTGATGCTGACCTCGATGACATTTGCATCGTTCCGACGTGGTGGTTAGCTGAGTGGCTTAACGAACCTCAGTTTCCACCGCCCCAGTTACACTTCCCACCTCACGACAAAGACGTCTTTGTTGAAGCTCGTGAATTCGTTGGTGCCCTGCCGCTCTTCTGCACACACAATCGTATCTCACCAAACGTCCACTCGCAGCACATCAGAGCAGTGTCGCGATCTGGTTTATCGCTGTGTTTCAACCTCTCTCTGGATCTCGACAACTGCGAAGTGATCGCTCCCGACTCCGTTTCCTCGCCTTTCACCTCGATAGAGGCGGTCGCTGCTCTTTCCCCCTGTATTGGTTGTCTCCGATGGCGAGTGGCGGTGAAAGGCTTCAATAAGGAGTGTAATGCTCTCACCAAAGACATCAGCCGGTGGCGACGTGCTAGCAAAGGTGGGGTTTGGCCTCTTGTCCCCGGTGCTGAGTCTGCTGTATGTGAAGGTCAAATTGTAGGTAATTGTTATAGATGCAAACTATTTGCTTAAATAAATTCAGCGGAAATGTTTTTTTTTTCAGGTCTCCTCTTCTCCATCACGAGTGTACTTCCTCGGGATGAAATCATTCACCAATTGGCGGTCTTTTGCACAGACGTATTTTTGTGCTGCTGCTAAGGCTTCCTCCTGTCCCCCTACCACGGATTTCAACAAGGACGCCGTGTGTCCACACAATCACCTGTTGGCGGACAACATTCGTTGTCTTCCGCCTTCCCTGTGGCATCGAATAGTGGCCCTGTTTACCCTGCCCAATTCTACTGCAACGGCTACCATACCGGAATATCCCAGCGACTGCTGTGATCTCTCCCCATGTCTTCAGTGTGCTGATGTCAAGGAGAATTTACTCGCTAGAGCGCAGAACGAACGAGAGGCTTTATCGGGGATCCTAACGGCTCTCACTTCTGGGTCTTCACAAAGGCAGTTGGACGGGCTAATCACCGGTGTTGAGTAAGGTTTCCGGCGGGGCTATTATCTCCTCATGTGGTCATTTAAGTAGTATGGTATGTGAGAGACAATCTTCTCTTAGTTCACGTCCAGTTCACTATAATTCGTAGGTATTAACTTTTTGCATTGCCTACTTAATACTCCATATAAGTAGCATCAACCTGCGTATTGATTTGCTCTCCTGTTAGAACGGAATTGGCAGAAGCCAATGAAGGCAACCGATCCATCTACCTTGTGCCAACAGAATTTATACAGCAGTGGCGCCGCTATCTACGACTGCCTGCCGCCATCGCGCCCCCTGTTGAACTGCCCTCTGGTCTGGAGGCAGCGGGAGTGCTCTGCATCCATGAATGCGTGAGTTCAGCCACTTGCCATTTTACTAAATGAAGGGTTCCCTCCTTATTGCTTAAGACTGGTAGTAATCACGACATAGCAAAAGTCCGAAACACCAGAGTACGATTTTTTGTTGTTTTCACCGGAAATGATTCCTTACCCTCCGCCTGCATACAGCTTCAAATGCCCTGGAACGAACTTCTGGAAGATAATTTGGTCTATCCCCTCTCCTCCTACGAATGGCATGCTATGAGCCAATTCTACTCCGTCACTTCTGACCATCGTCCACTGCGTTTGGTCGCGTTGCCAAACGATGAAAAGCAGGAGGGGATGGATCAGGACGATGAGACGGGGACGGCAGCATTGCCAAAGCAACAGCGGTTCTCTCTTGTAGGCTCACCGGAGGTCTGCGATGAGTGCTACGCTCTGGTGCAACAACGGCGATGCAACTTCGTTGCCGCCCGCATTTTTATTCGCCAGGTGGCAGGACCGGCTGAGGCTTTAGCTTTCAACTCCACGTCTCCTGCCTCCTCTACCTCATTGGAACAGGTAGGTTGGATTTCCACTTACTACTTAAATTGCCCGTCCTGACTGATCGTTTCTATTCCTATATATTGTCCTCGAATTACCTAATCTGCTTATTTTGATTTTCACTAGTATGCTCTCACTCTTAACTTATATTATGCAGTAGCCATTATTGCTGCTACCGGTTCGACTCCTAGAAAATGCTTTTCACGTCTTGGCATCAATTTGAGCTGCCTATTTATTTCATCCATCAGTAGTATTTGCCGGGTCATATAAACCATGTTAGGCACATTGGAACGTCTTCTACCGGCTGAATTCATAGGCATTAGCGACTTCAGATGATGGGCACAGATTTATTACATTAGAGCGTATAATTTTTCGTAACTGATTTTTTCCTTCCCCATCAGACGACATCGTCCATTCAATCCCCAACGAGGGAGGCGACATCTGCAAACGCCGCCGTGGTGCGGCGCTCCCAGCGAAGGCGTGTTAGTCGTGAGGACAGCATTCTTCGCGTGAACAGTTTCACCAAGCTGATTGACTTGCGGGTCCAACTCATCAATGTCGTTGGTGCAGCGCCGTATGATCAACACATCCTGCTCGATGTGGGTCACTCCCTTTGTTGGTGGCGGCTGTTTATGAAAAAGCCGTGTCTACTGAAATTGATATCAGTAGAGGCTACCTTGCAAAATTCATTATTGTTTTAGGGGGTGGAGTTGACGGATAACACGAGCAGCCTCTACCAACTGGGAATTCGACCGGAAACTCGCCTCCTCGTCTGGATCGACACACCCAACTCGGAAGCCATCGCTGAGGCCTCGAAAAAACCACCCACCACTCCATCAAGCAGTGCCAATAACTCGTTCTCGCCCGCTGGTGCGAAATTCAACGGATTCATCTGTATTTGAGGTCCCAATAGTGATGTCGGACTTGGTTGCTAGCATTCTTTCGATTTCTGCTTTTGTAGATCGTCAAGTGGAGACGGGATTCAAGGGAACACGGTTATTGGACTACTGGTCACCTGATGAAAAAAATTCCTCACTTTCTGGCGTCTCTTGAGCCCTTCCCACTGTCTACGCTTCGCCTTTCAGCTCTGGCATTGCCTGCTTATTTGTACATTTAAGTAGACTGTACTCACTCTTTGGATTTATTGTAAAATTGATATGGCTGAGTGGATATTATTAAGAGATATTTTATCAAGTGTGCAATACTTGTGTGGAATTTTGCTCTGGCGCGGATTATTATCCGATATCAAGGCAAATGACATTGGTATTCGGGACCCAGTCTACTTATTAGTTGTTAAGTAGAACGCGACTGGTACTTTATTATAGTGTACTAAAGGAGGATTAAATATGAAAAGGAGAATTAATGTGTGGGAAGTGTATGCGGGGAGGTATTCATTCAAGAAGTTGAGTGTGGCTTTAACCCTGTTTGTGCTAAAATGCTGCAGTTAGTTCAATTAAATGTGTGGTGTTTGACTTTGACGTTGACGTGAATGCAAAAACTGAAACCAGGCCAAAAACGCATTTCCGTTCCCTCTCTCGTTTACGGGTTTCACGCCGTTGACCTTGGCATCAAAAATGGTGCTGCGAACACCATTATCTCCGTTCTGATCCAAAAGAAGGTTGTAATGCTACATTGGTCTGGGGAGGGGTGAGTGAGTCGTCCAGCTCTGGCAGCTCAGCCCCTCATGTATGTCTCGACTAGTCTCTCCTTTATCATCGCCTTTTATGCCTTCGGTAGCGTTTCCTTAGCAGATTTCGCAACGATGACCTTAAGACAGGTGAAGATACCATGTTTGCATGGTAAAAAAAACGATCAGATGGCTTACTTTTCCCGCTTTTCTTGTCTTGCGATTGCTGCCCCGCCTCACCACCTTTTCACTCTGTTTTGATGTCAATGCTGCTCACGCGACCTCTTCAGTTACCAATGGACCTTTGAAGAAGAACGATTTGTATTAACAATAATTCTTTTCTCAAACTGCACTTGAAACTGTTTTTCTGGATAACGTCCCAGTTGTGTCTTGACTGTGCCGCGGTTACTCAATACAGCTTCTTTTGGTAGTATTGCAAAAAATCCGATGAAACGGTGGTGTAGTAAAATAGCAGTTGGATATTCAATGGAGAGCCACCCACGACATCTTTCGAAACACTCACAGCATATCTCCATTGAATGTCAGAGGTCAAATTGACGCAAAATTAGATAATAAGCCGTCACGAAGGCAAAAAGTGAGGACATAGCCGTGCCACTTGTATTTGATATAATGGCTCATAGCTTCAATACCGACTATAATTAACGTCCACTTTTGTTTGATTTTTCCCTTTTTTTCATGCAAATGTTTTTCAAATAGCTGTTTGCTCAGCTCAGTTTTAATCAGCGCGTAGCATTTACCGCATCGTCCTCATTTCTGTCGCCAGGACAATCTTGTAAATTCGCTCGTCCCACCCATCTGGAAGTTATTTTTTCCGTCTTCACACAATCACTACATCATTTGGGCCACGACCAATACAACTAACACCGTCTCATACTCGAATTGTTGACCTCTCAGGGTCTACTTTTGTGGCAAATGAAGAATGAAAACCAAATGCATTATAGCCACAAAGTAGGACACTGAATGTTTGTAAAAGCGTCGAAAAGTGTAAACAACTGCACCCTGAATGCCACTGATTAATAACTTACTGGCAGTTCGACAAGGCTTCTACCAAATTACGCATAAATGTCTCACCTGCAGAGGCCTTTCTCTCCACCACCTCCGTCTACAAGATTGAGGTATGCTTACGCGTGGCTCATATGATATCTCGAGGGTTTAGAGTACTCCACTTTTCGAGGACATTACCTAAGAAAGCCAAAAGTACACGATTTGAGTAGCAAATAATATCCTCCTTTGTGTCGGGTTTAGCATTTATTCTATCAGTAGAAATAAGTAAAAATTTTGCCATTGGGCAGTAATAGCCAATGGAAGCGTCTTTCCTTCCGATGAAAGGAAAGTCGGGCAGGATACTCTCTATGAATGGGGAGTATTTTCCAAATTAGACATAATATAATCTATCATACGCTTTTTAAACGTATCTGAGTTACCTGTTTTCCCTCCACCTCCATGTACCTGCATGGGTAGGACTAGTCGCCCTACTCATATCTTGAAAACAGGCTTAGTATTGCGACCGTTGTTCTGGATTTTTCGGCAGATAAATGTTCGAAGCAGTATAGCAGCTGTAAAACACGAGATTTTCTACGTCGGATTTGGGATTGGCTCTGGTTTCTGTTTACGGCAGTCCGTCATTTGAACATGTCCTTTTCTTCTGTCTTGCACAACCCGATTCCAATGATGTTTAAATTTATAGGAGAAATGTTTATATTTGTTTTAATAATGAAATCGGGCATTACTTATGGGCTACTAATTCAGTATTTGAGCAATCCAACCTCTTGAGATCGTCATCATTATTATCACTGTTCAGTGTACATAGCAAATCAGTTTTTCGACTCCTCGCCCTTCCTGTCTTGTGCAAACCGAAATCAGCAGGACGGACTTCATTTGTTAAAAGGCTACAATTTTGGCCATTAGTGACATTTTAAGTCAGTAATAAAAGGTTCTTATATACTACCCACAAAATTTTAAGTGGCCAAACTGCATGAATTCGCCACTGTTAGCACCGCTTTTTGTCGCGTGCAAATCACTTTTTTGAGTCCTTTGCCTTCCTGTCTTATGTAAAACGCAGGCCTATTTGCTGATATTTCTTTCTAACGATGAAATTTAAGCACAATATTAAAAGCACCTTGTGTGCTACTTACTCATTATTTAAGTAGTCGAGTCTCCTAAACTCACTACTATTAGTTTTGCTTCTTATCAAATGCAACAAATCCGATTTTGTCTCCTTTCTGCCTTATGCAAGCCACAATTGTTGGGCCGGACCTCATTTGCAAAACGTGGACATATCAGTCTAGTGATGGGATTCTAACCCAGTATTCCAAACATATTATATACTACTTATTTGGCGTTTGAGTAGGCAAACCTAAACTAGTTATCATTAGTACCACTTTTTTACACGTAACAAATAACGGTCTTTAATTTCCTCCCCATTACCCTTTTATGCAAACCAAAACAGGGTCAATCTTACCTGCGAAATTTGTATATTTCTATCCCATGATGGAATTTCATCCCAATATTGAAAGTCTCCCACATACTACTTACACTATGTACTTATACAGTCAGACCTTCAGACCTGGTCGGCCGATTATCACTACACCCAGCAAACTACATATGGACTTTTTTCTTTTGATAGAATAACCCAAATGTGACCTAATTAATGAATCTGATGGGAATATTTACGTTTACAGGAAGTTCGCAGGTCGCTTGTCCTTACCCATGGCCAAGTTGGCCCAATAAGGTGAGGCAAGTCGAATAGGCGACCATCCACCCCCAAAATGGAAACAGCGATAAATATTTTAAAAGAGGACTTTACTGTCTAGCTCCCGAGTCCTTTTCACCTCGTTTGTTTTTAAGGCAGAGACGGATCACAACCTACGCCCTCTCGTCTGTCTCCGTCTGCGTTCAGGATGTGTCCCTAATGTCGCAGCGAACTGCACCACTGGGAGACCGCGAGCACGCCCAAATCGCCGCGAGGTTAAGGTTGCACGACCCTGCTGCAAAATGGCATCACCCATGCATGCCAAGTGACTTCAGAAATCGATAAGGTCAAAAAATCTCCCAACAAAAGCATAAAAAATTCATGCCTCGAGGGAATTAGCAAAGCCTGCTTTGAAATCACTCGAAGCGTGGCCCTTGGTGAGGTGGACGACACGAGAAGCCATTAAATAAAAGCAACGATCTAGGATGGTGTTGCCATGGTAATGTTAACAAATTTGTTAAATGTGTGTTGACCTGAAAAAGGAAGAAGAAAAAAAGACCGCGGAAGGACACTCGACCCGAAAATTTTGGCTCGTCTTTCGTGCCTAGTGGGCTGAAGTGAGGCACAGCAGACAACGTGTAATTAAGTCTTGGAGGGTTGTTTTTCCTCTTCGCCCCGAAATTACCACCACCACCACCACCACCTTGGGACAAATTCCACCTTTACGCAAAGTTTGGACGTTGGACAGTAGGAAAAAAAGCCCCTAGCCTCAGTCATCTTCGTTCCTATCGCCTTTTTTCCCACCTGGTCAGAGAACTATTATCGGTGTGTGGGGGAGGAGAAGCAGGCAACTATCTCTAAGGCGGTAGTCATCCTGACACCCAGTTGAGGTGTGCGGACAGACCTCCACCGTAATTGCTGTCTGCCCCATGGGTGGTGAATAAGCCCTGGTGACGAATTTCGTCTGCACTCCACGCACAAATCAACCACAGTCTTCTGGGTGGAAGCGGTGCACGCCTTTGTAGCGTTTGGGTTGTTCCAGGGATAAGGAATGAACGGCAGGGTTGCTTCAAGTAACAATCAGAAGAAAAAAAAGTGGAATGCACGACGTGGCAGGGGGCGCACTTCGCGTATCCATCAGATCCAACAATCGTGAAGTAGTGGAGGGCACAATGCAGCGACGGACTGCCACGCGCCACGCTTTGCAGTTCACACAGCCCCCGCCCATGGACTAGAACAAGTAGGTGCGCCGATCCACACCGAGGGCCCCATGAAAGGCGCCTTTTAACCTCATAATAAATCATCCATGATGCAAAACACATGCAACAACGTACCTAGTCCTTGCTACTTTCTATGATAAGGCAACGCGCCATATGCAAGTTTCCCACACTCTTCAATTCCTACAAACAATTTGTTGCGCAGACTGCATACACGTTTAATTACTCAGCCTCTTTAAAATCCACAACATGACTCCCCAAACTCGTCAGCACGCATTCTTTCTAACCGGCAAGCCCGACTACACTGTTAGATTGACACTCCAGACGAGTGGAGCTGTCCCACTCACCATTATGGATAATAGAGAATCTGAAGGCACACAAAGCACTCGATTCGGCAGCTCAGACTCGGCAACACTAACGAGTGACGTCAGCATCAAAAATACCGTCAAAAATGAGCACGCTCGAAGGGAACTTGTCATTGATGGGCTTATAAAATACCGCGTCAAATTTGGCTGCCACGACGTATAAAATCGGCACTGAGGTGCACATTGAACCTTTTGAAGCGATAAACCTCCCACGACCTGGCATTCAGACACAGACAATTCCAACCCACGCAAACGACGTCGATCTGGTCAATCCGGAAGAGATTAGTCACTAAAAATGCCAAAACAAGATGTGGCTGGCCGCAAAGAACCCCACGGTTTCTGCTAGTTTGCAATGCACGGATACGCTTATTTCGAACGGTAATAATAACGCAAGACTCCAAACGTCAAGGCATGGCTGTGTGAGGAGCTACACAGGGAGGAGAACAGTGTCCGGTTCTCAGATTCCGTATACTTTTCGAATGATGTTTCCCCAAACGGCAGAGAGTAAATACCACCCATTTCTGGGATCAGCCAATCCCATGATCAAATGCCACGCAGAGTTGACAAGTGAGAAAAAAAGGGGAATGGTTGGAGTTGGCCTGTTACCTTCAAGTTGAAAATCAGGGCAAGATAGTGTCCCACTGGGAATAAGCATAGATAAGAGAATGCAATTTTTTAAAGAAATAAAACACGTCAAGAAGCTTCCCGCAGTTATTTACTTACTTATCGGACTACTCTCAAGTGAATCTTAAGGGCCTCAGCCTACTTCTTTTATCGTTTAAAGCGGCGTGATGAAAATTGGTTGAAGCATTCTCGTGCCCACAAGAGAGAGCGAGATTCTAGCAACTAACGGATACACAAAGTACTCCGATTGGATCTGAGCTCGCAGATCTCTGACGCCTACACATACACACTCGTAACAAAACGCTTGTGCATGAATGCGGTGATTAGACCCCTCGGAGAGGCGCGTCAATCAGTTAAAATGCCTTACATTTCACTTACCATTTATAGAAATTCATCCAATTGACAAAAAAAGGTGTACTTTGAAGTGAATGAGGCTTAACAAAACTGCCCTCAGTAATTAAACAGTTTACATGAATAAAAGAGGCGAAAACAAGAATGCTCAAAACAACAGGCACTCACAGCTTGACCCTATTTTCTGCACCATTGCATGTTAAGGTTCCCGAGTAGTGCTGATAAACATTTTGCCTTCAAAACTTTCAGGTAACACTGTAAAAAGTAACTACTCACCGTTTCGCCATGCACAGAAATCGCTAATGACTCATGCCGCGGTTTGTTGCTACGACAATCAACGCATACATGAATGTAAACTGGTTAGCTTTCTCGCAAGGTTCACCAACTTTGGCAGAAAATAAGCCGCTAGCAACGTGTTAAATCTTCAATTTGACCTACATCTGGCCAAATCAAGTTTAAGCATCACCCATCATCGTACGCGTAACCCAGACATCAAAGCAATACGGGGAAAAAAATAACACAAGATTCCTTTACCCTCTACTTCATTTGGAACCCACTCGAAGTACTCTCTATCTTGCTGGCATAAACACCCCCTGTTTAACAGTTTATTTCGGCAAAAAACAATCATTTTCCCCGACAAAAGAGGACAACCTTGATGACACGCAAATGGAACATTCTAGTGCGTGTCACACGACAGAACAGAGTGGGTGGTTCAAGTGCATTCAATTACGATCTAAAATACACTCGAGACAAAAAAGGTTAGTAGCAAGTTAGAATTACTTAACCCGGTGACCCCTCTCTCCCCATCGCCATGGCAACTCATCCGACAGGTTAAGTGGGATCTCAAACTGGTCGATAGCACACGAACACGAGTCACGGAAATGAGGAGCACTCCACAGAACCCCACAAATGCTCCCACACCTACTCAAGTGCTTAATATTACCCACTAATTAGCAAATTATCTAGGCATTACAAAAAACTGTCGTCGAGTCAATAACCCGAGGTAGAAAGCGGGAACATAAATATAGCAACTGCAGCCTAATGCCATTGGAAGGAGAGCGAGAGAAAAAAGTGGAAGGATTGACTTTTCAAGGGCGTTAACGCCCTTGCAACAAGCATACACAGACACATCAAACCACCAATAACCAAACGAGAGGAATGAGAAAATGCTGCATTAAATTTATATTCAGATGATTGACCTACAAAACACCCATATGCACGCACCTTCTGTTTCATGCTGAGTCAAAAATCGCAAAAGAAATGAAAGTGAATATTCGGCGACAACAGAAGGAGGTAAGGAAGTAGAGAGGAAGAAACGCAGGTAAATGTGAGGGATAACACAGTTACCCACTCCCATACTCCAACTCATCCGCCACCCTGCAGTTGCTTAGTTCGTGCTGGTGGATTTCTTGTCAAGAACGTAGCGAACGTACGGCACCTCCACATCCTCACCATCCAAATCCGTAGCACAAAGTTCAAACACCAGAGCATTCACGTGTGCAGGAATGCGCTTCTTGCTAACCGACTCCACCAAATTCAGCATCCTATAAGGCACAAAGCTTCTTAGAACTTCATCCTCTCCGTGGCGAAAGAGTATTGCAGAGAGTACTTACTGCATTTTGAGACGCTCGTTGCGTTTGTTCGGGGGCATGAAGAAGGAGTAAAGCATGGAGACATCCTGAGAAAGCATGGTGATTTCCAATTTGTGCTGGGTCTTGAAGTAGTCCAAAAATTGCTGCAGTGTCAGGCCGCCGGGAACTTCGAAGCGGTCCCAGATGGTGAAGCTATTGTCATAGTACTTCCAGGACTTGGGGGGCAATGGCTCAGAGGAGCCAAAGAAGGGCAGTGAAAGGTTTAAGAAGGTGTTCTTGTACAGCTCCAAGTCTTGATGGCCTTGAGCGAGCTGTGAGAAGGGGAAAAAAAGGGGACTAAATTTGCGACCAAACGTGGTGGAGATATTAAAAGAAGGGAAAAATTGCCTTCAAGAGCTCGATTGCAACCAGTCCAGAGACAATGCTGGTGGTGGTGGCGATAGCAGGAATGATCTTGCCGGCGATCAGCTTGCTTCTCAATCGATCCGCGGGTGCAATGTCGTAGTTCTCTGCGCGCAGATTGCTCGCCGCGGTAATGAAATCCATGTGGAAGTTGCTGTCATCATCCTTCTCAAACTCTACCACATTTATGCTCATTTTCGGCAGGTCATCTAAAAGCACACGGCATAATACTCGCGTGGAAAGACTGCCTGTATCGCGGTGTTAATCTAAGCTATATGCGTGTATAATTGCGTATACATGTATAATTGCAGTTGTTACATGCGGTGATGCAATCAGTGCGCACTAGTGCTGGATTCAGAGGTAAAGGGAAAATCAATAAAGGAAAGAAAGGAGCGACGTACCACCCTTCGGCATGGACTTCTTCAAATCATCTAACTTTGAGTCCTGTGCGAAGACGCGAGGACGAGCAGCCATCTCGGCATCGGAGACTTCTATGGTGACTCCACTGCGTGGCACAAACTGAGGCACATTCACAACACTCGCCTTCTTCGCAATCATTGCGATGTCGCGTGATCCACGCAAACTGTAGATAAAAGCTCGCAGATTTGCCGCAGACACGATGAAGTCCAGGTGAATTGGCTGATTAAAAAAAAAACAAGGTAAATTCCGAGCTCACAAACAACGGCAGCAAAATTAGGTCTGCTCACATTGCTAGCATCGAATTCGAGAGGCCTGGGGCACCGTTTAGTACCAGACCAGAACGGAGCCCCGGTGGTCGTTTTGTGGTCCGGGGGGAAGTTAAAAAGAAGCTGACGAATGGAATTGGAGTAGAGATCCTAGATACAGAAACGCAAATTAGCAAATTGTACAATAGAGAACAATTTATTGCTGTTTCAGAGGCAAGAACTCACCTGCCAGAGATTGCGGGCCCACACGATGCAATCGTCAAAATCTTTGGGGCAAGCAGTGGTGAGATTCACCTTCAAGGGTTCCAAAACATCCATTGCCTGGTTAGCCACAGATCCCATCTTGGATATAAATTCCTCCGGATTCTGGGTGTATGAGCGAAGAGCGTTAGACTGTTGCACAAAGAGGCCCTCAAAGGTGTCACGTGCCCACTGCAGGGTGTGTTCAATCTGGTAGGGGAAGTTCTTCAACGTGCACATCGGAATCGACTTTTCCGGGGGATCCTAATGCAAAGCCGTGGATGTCAGTAATGACAACGTTAGCCTTACCTGAGATGATGAGTAGGATTCGGTGAGATGAGGAATAACCACCTGCACGTTACCCTTGGTGCCCAATGTGCCAGATTCTAAGAGAGGCTTGCGATAATAGACACAACGACGATCTATGTAGGTCCGAGCCTCGATGTTATCAAGAGCGTTGGCAACGCCATCCAGGGCTTCAAAAAAGGCGTCATCGTACACGGCCTCGGTCTCTGGCCCCACTTTGTTCTCATGAGGCACAATTTTAAGCTTTTGAGTAAGGATTTGAAAGTGAGATCTTACCTCAGGATTTATGACTCTGGCGGCGGTAGCAGCAATACTGGATTTGAACTTTCCAATATCCCATGGGCGGAAGAGGAACTGTCGATTGAGATTTGACTTCTCGATAACATCCATATCGGTGATGAATAACTTACCCCCACGACAGGAAACACCCATCATGGCAAAGTTCTTCAGGTGCTCGCAACCAATGGCTCCAGCACCCACCTTTGCAATCGTTAACTCAGTAAATCAGACAACTTACGACGAAGTACTTGAGGTCACCCAGTTTGTCCTGAAACTGCTTGCCAAATATCTTGCATTGACCCTCGTAGCGACCCTGTGCAGCAATCAAATCGCTCTTGGATAAAACAGTGCCGTTTTCACATTTACACCATGGCGAGGGCAAGCATTCAATGGCGTCGAAGTAGAACCACTGATCAATTGGTCGAAAGTGACCAGTGCAAGATTTCATCACCTCTTGGGCAACAATGCCACCGATAATGGACTAAAGTGGCGAATAAGGAAAGTTTTTTTCTCTTTTACTTGAATGGGACAGCAGTTGCCAGCAGAAATAAACGAGAATATCTTGGCTAGGGGTTCGTTAATCTGCTCGACATGAGCGGCGGTCTCATTCACATCCTTGTTGACAGCTTTGCAACATTCTACAAAGGTCTCAGCATCCTCTTCGTTCCAGGGAATCGGAACACGATTATGGTACATTTCGAAGCGGGAGAGAGCCTCAAAAAACAGATGCAACTGCGCCGGAGATTCCAACTTCGCGAAATCACTGATGAGGAAATTCGGGTTCTTATAGGCCTCAGCCAGCTCGAGCTAAGAGCACCGATGAGAAAAAAAGAGCATACGAAATCCATCCTCTCTGGCATTTTAACCTGAGTGCATAGCCCACCACCAATGTATTGGGAGAAATTTGAGGTATCGCCGATTGAAAAAGCGGAAGGGCCTGAAGGTCCTATCAAAAATTGGCTCATAAACTCACCCAAAACTTTGACCATTCGTGGTTCACAACCATTTAATTCAGTCATTCCCCTAACTTCAGAAAAGGTAACATAGTCACCATCATGTAGACCATGAGCAGACTCCTCTACACTAACCACAACACCCTCTTTGCTCTGAAAATGAATAGCTCTTTGATGATCAAAGGCAATCAAACCTTTTCAACCGACTGAATAAACACCGAAGTCGGTTGTTCACCGGTAGCATCTATGATGGTAAATTCCCTCCCGAAGTCACAAAAAACTTGACCGAAGAGACCACAAGTTCTCGTGCAAACCACTTTGATGTTCAGTTCATGGCAGATTTTGGTGAGCTTCCTCCACTCATGCATACTTCCCCTGGCAAATACGACAACCTGATATTCACGCAAAATATCTGCGGTTAGTTCATTCCCCTTGACGACGTTAAGGGTGACATAGTTATTCAACTCAGCCAACTTGGGCCGGATAACCTCACATCGATTTTTGCCAATATCCTCCAGGGATACATAGTAGTTAGAGGATAACTCCGAGGATGTGATGTCTTCGGGATCGTGTAAATCGATGGACCCAACACCACCAAGAACCAGATTCTTAGCAATCTCCAAACCCAGGCCACTAAGACCGGTTATGAGGATTTTGGTGTAGGACAACTTTTTCATACCGTCAGTGCCCATGACGTACAACTGGCGGCTATACAAGTTCTCATCAACACCTGATTCACCGTTGACTCCCATAACCTAGATGAAAGGAAACCGTTGAAAAGAATAACAACGAGATTACGTGATTACAATGGTTAATAATACTGTTGGTGTTAGTTATGAGTGGTGAGGATGTTTCTTCAGACAAAATTATATGCTGTCTCTTTGCTGGTGGAGGTGAAGACATCTAAGGCGCAGAATAACATTCAAACCCGCCTTAAATAGTGTAGGACTGATTGCGGGCGCAAATCACGCGAAGCCAACAAAATCAGCTTCAAGCACCGCTTCTTATTGGATATGGTAAAGTCTATCTAACCAATTAACGCAGGACTTTGGATGTTTAATCATTCCTTTAAAGGAATAAAAAAATTGACCACGAAGAGATAAGGTAAAGCACAAATGTCTTATTAAGTCGCACATCTAATTCAAAGTGGATTTTTTTTAAAGTAATTGCGGAGACATTTGACACTATGTTGTAGAGAAGAATAAATTTAAACATATTCCCCTGGAAGATTTACTTCAAACCTTTTCAACTAAATAAATTTTTTTCAACTTAAAATATGTTAAGGTTTAATACATGCATATACAATGAACTAAAGGTCTGAAAATCAACCCGTTGAAGTAGCATACCTCCAGGTCACAACAGCTATTAAAAAGTCCCTAAATAACGTAGATAAAACTAATAGAATGACGCAAATATATGTCTGGCCGCCTTTTGTAACGAAGATGCGACTTGCTGCTGGCTTGTTAATTGTCGATGTAGCTAAATGCAGAAAACGGAGTTAGGCTTCTAGTCGAATAATGATACATTCATCTAAATAAAATCGTAAGAAGGAAAGAAACACCTCAATGTTACGAAACAACCTAGAAGTTCCTTATGTAGCATAACTTCTGTTGCTTGATATCAGCCTTCAACATCAAATACGACTTCACTTCGCTTGTAGGAGTTGTTAATTGTTCGGTGAAATATTCCGGGCTATGAAAGGTTTTAACCCGTTTTTATACATATTACACTGCAAAAAAGGCAAAACTATTTTTTATTTTCATAACATAGATTTCAAGCATATTGTGGCGTTTCGAGACTCCCTGAAGACGAAAGAAGACAAAATACTAGGGCAGAATATATATTCAGCACAGAGAAGGTTTCTGGGCTATTGACATGGCCCAAAAGGCCAGCCCACCCAACGAGGTACAAAATGGGCTGATTCAAAGTACAAAATTGGCGCCTCACCAGTACCGAGGGATAAACCACTATCGTATTACAATAGCCTTCGTAGTTTCCAACTGTGCATTTCGACATAGTTTCCCAGCCTTATCTATGATGAAGATCTCCATTCATGCGATTGTAGCTCAGTACAATCTTAAAGAATCACAGACGACTTATGCCATGCTTTGTATGTAGTAAAAGAACGTATTATTACAAGTTCGTAAATCGTAGCCCAAATTAACCACCTTTAAAATCTAAAGCCAATAAAAACTACATAAAAAAAACTTTTGCATTAGTAACCTTTTAAAAAAATGACATTAAAATTAGTGCAAATTTTGCTTTTGGGTGCACTTTAGTTTGACGGGAAGTCGGTTTATGCCAACCTTGGCTCCCCTAATCTTCTCTGAAGTCGCAGGAATGCATAATACTTGGACAGAATAAGAATTGCAGGACTGGGAGCTACTGACAGCTTAAAAGCCGGGCCAACTAGGGACAGTACAATGGCGGAGCTCCTAAATGGCTCGTTACCAAGACCGAAACTTTGGTAGGAAATTAGGGTCTCTATATAACCCTGCGTCAGCCATCACAACGTAATTGGTACTCCAGGAAAAACACAATCACAGGTCAACAAAGCCAGCCATGCATTTAAGTACATACATGGTTGCAACATTGCTAATCTCCCTCTTCAACAATACCAGAGGTGAAGTATTGTCGGTGTGGGAGCTGTAATGAAGAGAAGAGGGAATGTGACAGCCATTACACATGTCTGCCGCTAGTCCTTGGGACGCCAGCCTTGAAGCAGACCCGTCTTACAAATAATGGATTGTAAGTGATTCTGTGGAAACAGGGTTTTACATTTATTTCTCATCACTACTTTGATCTAAATCTGAACCTGTCCATCTATACTCACCTCTGTTTTAACCAGCTAGCAGATAAGTCAGGGCGTTATTGCCTGATCGTATACACGATAGCTTTGCACTATTCCGAATGGCTCAAGTCCATGGTCAGCGCCACTTAAGTTGTAAATAGCTGACCTCATTTTCAGATATTTTACTAGTAGTCAACAGATATTCTCCTATTTGCAACTTATGCGCTTTGTCTGTCCAGCTGAAGTTTGGCATAAAGCAATGTAGCGCTTCGAGACGGCCCAAAGAGCGGTTGAAGTCATGGAACTCAGGCTTACATAAGGTATAATGACCAAGACAGAGTGACTTCTTGCAAAACAGGCTGCAAAAAAAATCACCGACGATTTACACTTCTCCTCAAATATATTGTAATACGATAGTGGTTTATCACTCAGTTCTGGTGAGGCGCCACTTTTGAACTTCGAATTAGCCCCCTTGTACCTCTCTGGGTGGGCTGGCCTTTTGGGCCATGCCAATAGCCCAGACACCTTCTCCGTGCTGAATATGTATATTCTGCATGAGTATTGTGTCTTCTTTCGTCTTCAGGGAGTCCTGGGACGCTACAATATCGTCTCGCCCCAAGTATTTGAAATCGGATGTGGAGAAAGTAATAACCTTATTTTGCTATATTGTTTTATGCATAAACTTATTTTTTAAGGTGCATGACTCTGTAGGACAAGCTTGTGGTGTGGTTCAAGTGTTTAAAAAACCTGCTTAATTGCATTTCTTAACATGGTATAAATTGATCCGTCAAATAAAATAAAGTAAAGCAAACTCCCACATACGTTAATTTTAGTTTTATGCATAAGTTAAAGTCATGTGTTTTAAGAAAACTTAGCTAGTTTTTTACCCAGATATGGTGTAATCACCTTACTCTCAGCTCACCAATATTTTAATAGATTTGAAATCTTTGGCGTAGTGCAGAGACGATATCAATTTGTTCGTCTAGCAAACATAGTTTTAAAAGAACAAAGTACTGTTTCAAACCCTAACAAATCTTGGCTTATTTTGCAGTTTTAATTTACACTGATTGTTTTAACCAGCAAAACGACTACCAATCTTCATTCGCGTACTCTCTAAGTTCGTGGTTGGCAACTTGCAGTTCTTTGATTCATAATGACTCGTACGGCCTAGCTCTAAGTATTTGCTAACTGATACTGCTTCAGGTGGTAATCAGCGTGAATTAGCCCGTCAGAAAAACCAACAAAAACAAAAGGAGAACCAAAAAAAGGTTGGTTCTAAGGACAAGGCCGGCAACAAAGGCCTTACCCTAGAGGAACGTCGCCAAAGGTTCGATTTTTCTTAGTATTATTCTTTTAGGGACGCTGCCGCTCTTCAAGCTAAACAGGCGAAGAAGAATAGCGAGTTGCAGCAAAATGCCTAGGAAGTCTCTGCCAGTTTTTTTCCTGTACCATGCATTGCTTGACGCCGTACCTACCCACATGCTTAGCACCTCCCACCTCGCTTGTCCCATTTTTGGACCCTTAAAAGTATCTTACAAATATTGAATGTCTGTTTTTTAATGTCTTAGTATCAGATTGCTGGAATGTGCATTTGGTCTGGTTTTGGTCCAATTTGTTTTTTTCGATGTTCGTCGTTTAACATGGCTAATTTGCTGAGTTTGACCACTTTACCAGATGTGGATATCCCTTTCCGGACAAACGTTGTTTTGTATTGTTTTGCTTAATCTTGTAAGATCCTTTAAATCATTCGTTTTCGCAGTCCCTTTTCGTCAAATTTCCTTTATGCTCCCATAATCCCTTCTTTTATTCAGTCTGGTTCCTTTTAAGTCAGGCCTTTGCCCAACAGGTGACCATTGTAATTTTTCTACTCTTTTGTCAAACTTGGTTCGAGTCGGTTTATTCTTGGGTGGATGTTTGCCAATGTTTCCCAATTGGAACTGGTTTCCTCTGTAGCAAGGATTTTGGATCATCTCACACTACTTATTAACCGCTCTATTAGTTGTGGAGGACCTATCAGGAGGGGAAATGTGAATTGCGCAATATTGCGTTAACGTGATTTACAAGCGCTTATCCCTCTCAGGCGCGCAATTCACACGACCCACTTCTCTCTTAGTATGAGTTAAGTTGATGCTAGTGAATTGATAATTTTACTAGTCTCTGCACACCCTAGTTGTTTTATTGCCTTTAATCCATCTCAGAGTGGATTCTACTTTTCTACTTTGCGGAGAATTGGCCGTAGGAGATCTTGGACCCTGCTCAAAGGCGGCCGGATCCATCACAAGGCGAAGGGATGAAAGATAATCGAGTATTTATTTGGCCAAAAAAGGGTCGTAAAATGCTCATTGTGAATACACAAGCACATGCTCACACACGCATACAGGCGACTGCAATCTCTGTGTATATATATATGCATACCTCCTCGCCTGTGTCTGTGTGTCGTAGATTTGCTGTGATTGCAATAGGGACAGGTCTTGGGTAGGAGGGAGTTGGAAAGAAGCTCTGGTTTGTCATTTTCATTCACTGAAGGCGCGCGGGGAGGAGAAGGAAAAAGTTGGTTTTTCTACAATTCATAACGGGTGTGAATTTTGTACAGGATTGTGCGAAACAAGTCATCAGAAACAGAGGAGGAAAAGACTGTCGCAATGGCAGCAGTAGTTTCCAAAAAAACATCTGAAGTGGAGGGGAGAGGGTGATCGAAATTAATCATTCAGAAGACGAAATGGGGGAGAGGGAAGGGTGTAGAAAGACGGGAAGGAGAGTGTTCATCGGAACCACCATTTACGTAGGCTATGGTGTCGAACTCGGGACAGTGTTTCACTGCTTGACGAAGGTGGCGTTGACTGCTTTTGTGGTTGCTCCTCCGACGCTTGAGTTGTCGGCTCCGGGGACTCCGAAAGCGCTTCCCTCGCTTCGCCACAGTGATCACCGCGTCTTCGACAGGATTTTACTCGCCGAAAAGCCACCAAATGACTGATACTGTAGATCTCCTCTCCTGCTTCGACAACTGCCATCTCCATTATCGACTTACTCTCAGGTGCTTCGCCCCCGCTGTGACGACGCTGTCGGTGGAAGGGGCGCCAACGGGAGGAGGATGTCGCCTTGTTGGTAGTATCGGTGGAAGGGTTCAGGGACGGATTAAAGCTTGATATGCGAGGCGATGGTGGTGCTGTGATGGAAGAGTGTGCCAGAAGCGAATGTTGCATGCGAGCGGGTGAAGAGTCTTCTCTCTCTACATCACAGTAGTCCTCAGGGATTATTAGAAGAGTGGGTTCTAAATCCAAAAAAAAGGGTGGAATAGCTTATTTTTCGCTTCCAGGTTTTTGGTTTTAAAGCAAGATTTAGTCTGTAAGCGCGTCCGTGTACGGGGCACCCCGATTGATAAACATCCGGGTTTAGATTCGTTCTCCCCAATCGCCCGGGGCGTGGCATCACTCCAAGTGTACATATTTCTCCATTATGTCTTTACCAGTTTTTCTTGCGACATTTGCAAAGCAAAGTAAAAGATGTGTCGGCCAAAGCAGAGATGTGGTTCTCATGCAAAAAAGAAGGACTCGAAAACCAAACCAGTAATGCAAAAGAACACCCCTCATAAGGTCCGGCAGAAGATGCCTCGGTTTTACAGCACAAAACACCATAAAACTATGAAAGAGTGATGACAACAACCATGAAAAGTCAGACTTTAACACAACAACAAACCCGTGAGTAGATGGCGAGTAGTTGCTGAGTGCAATAAATTTCGGATGCGGGGAGACTTACGGTAAAGGTGGAAGTGAGGCAGTGTCACTCTGAATGAAGAGAAGAATCATGTGTTTCAAGCATCAATGTTAAAAAGTTAAATCGATTTCTCCTTTTCGGATCCTTTGTCTCCAATGACAGGTTAAAAATTTAAAGCGGACATTTTGTAGTGAGAAAATTGCACTCTCCTTAAATAACGGAACGGCCACATTATCGAGGTGCCAGTGCTAAACAAAGTTCAGTCATTTTTACCTCTCAAAGCAATCTTTTCTTCATTTTTTCTTTCTTCATTGGAAACAATGCAGATGAAATGCGGGAAGGGAGGAAAAGTTCTTAGTTGTGCCTGAGCCAGCCAATACCTACTTATATGTAATAAGTAGCTGGGCAGAAGTTTTGTCACTGGGGTTAACGTTCTCCCCCGCACTGCTTTGACGTGGCTGAATGCGCTACCTTTCGTGGATCCTACGAGTCAATTCTCAAAGGCAACTAATGACGTGGAAGAAGACTCGATCTAAATAACGGACAGACGCTTCTTTGATATGTCTGACTTTGACACTATAACGACACCTTAGAGTTGTTCGTTTTTAAATTAGTTTATTGAAAAAATTAGGCTATCCTTAGGTTTACTTAAAGGTGTATCTCAACAGTCGAAAAAGGGGAAAATGAGTAAATTTACTGCCAAATACTAATCAAGAACCAGGGAAGACAGGCTCTACCTGAATTGATCAAAAAAGAATACAAAAAGGGATTTCGTACTTTCTGGAGAGCCAGGGACCTCTTTGTATGGAGAAAATGCAGTCCTGTGGGTAATTACGTCGATGTCCCTTACTTGATCTACAATAGCAAATAAGGAAAAATAAAACGCATTAAATCCATCCTGGTACCAGTTGGTAATGAAATTAATTTGCCAACGACACTTCTGCTGCCAGAGTCTGCTTCAGGGGAAATTCGTCCGTCAAGCATCGGATCCTACCAACTATGAGCCAATATGGAAAACGTGCCACACAGTTGTAACGGTGAGCTCGAGTAAAAAAAGTGGATGACACATATGTGTGACGTTAATGGGAAATGTTTTCACTAGCTGGATCAAATAATCAGATAGTTCATAATTAACTCGATCACTTACGCTCTTCTCTCCGCCGTCCCGCAGAAAGTGACCTTAAAAAGGAGAAAATGAAGAAAATGGAAATATAGTTTAGAAGGTCAAGGCATGTCTAGAATTCAGTCATCCAATCAGTCATGCCTATGTTCACTCAGTCAATCATTTATCCACTCATTCATTTGTCCATTCATTTAATAATTTACAATGCATCCGCCCATCCATCCAGCAGTCTACTCTGTCCTTCAGCCAAGGGGGTAATCCCACTTTCCAGGTTCAAATTGTAGAACCCATGCTCCACTGCAGAGGTCCAACTCACCTCTCCTGATTGTGAGACCGATTCTCCCCACCTGGTTGACTAACTGGTCGGTTCCTGTGACGCTGTTGATGTTGCTGCAACTGTTGTTGTTGCTGATGTTGCTGCTGGATCTCCTGCAACTCCACAGCACTGGATTCAAGTGCCTGCTCAACCACCGTGGCCACGTCGGTCGGTTTGTCCAGACTAGGACCCGGCTCCTCGGCCACTTCAAGGTCAGAGGTGGAGGGTGGGGGAGGGAGTAGTGCTGCCGCATGAAGCATCTCCTGAAGCACGGGACGAACATCGCCTGCGAGGCGGAAGGGGGTTAATTAAAAGACACAGGAATAGGGAGAGGAGGAAGCACTCTCTCTAATTCACGGACTGGTTAATCAAAGCCTGAAAATTAGAGGTTTAACCCAAGAAACGAACAGAAATCTCAGCAGTACTAACCCTCAGAGCGTCCAGGTTGATTGGCGAATTCAAGGCCCTGCGAAGTACCCGATGAGGAAGCAGCCATTGCCTCCGCCAACGCCTCGTCTGTCAGCAGCACCTTGTCCGAGTCCTCGGGCACGAAACAACCACTCTCTAGTCCCAAGTCGGGCGAGAACACCCACTTGTGGTACTTGATTATTGTCTCCAGCAGCTGCGAAAACACACCAAACGCTCAGATTCCCTGCTACCCAAAAAATTTGCAATGAAGGGATGCCATGCGTATTCGCGAATGACAGTGCTACCTGTGTGTAGCCCACTTCAGTATTTCCAGATTTTGTGTTTACTGCAATGTTGCATCACCACCACATCGATCACGTCTTACCTTCCAGCAGTTGGGAGGCAGGGCTTTTGGAAAGGTCAATTACGCTAAGCTTAGTATGTGCAGACGTGGTCAACAGCACTCCTGAGGGTGCCAGTAACCACAGAAAACCGTCCCATCTCGCTTCCGGCAATAGTTTTCTTCTCTGCGTCTAATTCTCAGACGTTCCAGTTCACTTCTCCAATTGGACGACCTCACAAACGGATTCGACTGTACGTGGAATGCCATTGTTTACTTCATTAAAACTAAACAATAGTTACACCTAATCCTTTATCGACTGAAAGGTGTGCGGCAAAATAAAACAGCTTTTTGGGAGACGGTTAGAAGTGCACATCATAATTACGTCTTTCACCCCACTCCTATGACTTTTTCTGGCTTCAGAGAAGACCCAGTGCGCTACAGAATCCCCATGGTCTCAGCTTCCTATTCAGTAGCCAATTTTTAGCTGACAGACCATGGAAACTAGCACACCTTACTTCAATTTAACAAAAACACAAAAACGCACCCAGATTTTGAACTTTGAGTCGGCCATAAAGAGCTCCGGACTGTCCTCATTCGATTGGATGAGATTGGGCGCGAAAACCAGCGCCAAGTTATAGGCCGTCATCCGGTTGACAGCCTGACGTGAGGCCACACGGGCCAGGTGGGTAGCCAGATAGCGCAGAGTTGCTCGATGTACTCGATACTCTGGGTGTTTGGGGTAGCATTCCATGATGCTGAGGAGACGCTGCACCGAGAGTAGCCGACGTTCCCACGACTCTACACGCGATGCCGCAAGAAACTCGGGATACATTGCTGAAATGGCAAAGCAAGGGTCTGTTGCAGAAACTGTGAAAAATAATTCCATTTGCGGTCCGATTTCGACCATTAAGACTACTGCATCATCATGATATTTCTATAGGTAGAAAATTAAGACAATGTACAGTATTGAAGTGGTGATTTAAATAGCTCCCAATCCTGGTCACCAAACCCCAAGACAGGGTGAGATTTATGACTAAAGCATAGTCTGAATGAAGTGGCAGAATATAGGATTTAAATTTTAATAAAAAACCCTATAGGTGATCTCCGAATTACAAGAATGACGGTTACAAAGTTGGAGTTTGTCACCGAAGCAGAATAATCAAGGTGGTACCTCCGAAATTTTCACACCAGAAAAGTTAATGGGATCATTACCCTGTGTCACCGTGAAATACAGAATGCTCAGCCAAAACTTAGACCTCAACCAGTGCCTTCAAACTTCAAAGCTACGAAGAGCATTTCGCAAGGGATTTCCCGGTAAATGGATAAGAAAGAAGCTCAAATGACTGCATACGAGTGGATAGGCCTTTAATAACTTTCCAAATATTAAGGCCAACATTACAACCAATTACTGTCGAGTAGTGATGGAGTAATTAAGGCCAAGTAACTTTTGAATGTTTCCGAAGGTTATGCGTTGGAAATTTAGCCTGGGATAACAAACGACAAGGACCCCTCCATCATTGAAAAACCCCGTTAAAGAATTTTAAAAAAATGTGAAATTACATATATGTATAGGATGATTTGAATGACTTCATTAGTCCTAACGCAAAATCACACATGCTAGATTTTTAATGACGATAAAGAACATGGAAATAAAATAAGGATGGCTCTTAATCGTCTTCAGTCACCTAATTACTGCGACGCATAAATCACCAGATCTCAAGTGAACTACATGTGCCTTAAAATACTGCACCCTTCTTCTTTTCTCGTCACCACAAATACTTCTGAAGTAGGGTTATGAATTACACAGGGTTGGGTACTCCAGTGAAAGAAAATTACGAGTATCATTCAACTGCCTCGGATCAGATTTGGGAATAGAGGCAATCGCCAGAAGAGAATCACCATTTGGTCTCTGGCGATTATAACGTAACTACACTAAAATCAAAACGCACTTTATGCATGCGATACGTGAATGGGAAAGCACTTTCCCTTATAAAAACGTGAATGAACATCGTAACTAGCTACTTATTTTTCGAAAACGTAAATGTATCATAGGTGGCAAATGAATTTTCGAGCTACGGTGAGCAAAGTTGAAAATTTTTCGGAATCTTGCCATTATCCTACGTTATATTGAATTCTGACACAGGTTGTGAAATATCTATCTTAAAGTTCGATGCAGAAGTAACCCTTTTGCCTTCCGACAAAGGGATTAAAACCAGGAAGTAGATGTCATTGTTCATGTTTGGATATTTTCCAAAGTAAACTATGGACGTTAGTTTTAAAAACGGCATGAAATATTTAATAAGTAGCCGGTGTCAACAACTCACGGAACTCTAAATTCCCCATTCATTAGCCATGTACCAACTTTTCAAATAGTTTCCACTACCATTAAAGGTGTCGCAATATTCCCAGGTTTTAGCATAGAAGTTCATAAAAGTGTTTCCATTCTGTCAAGTAATATTTACCTTTGGGAATTAATGAATCTGGCAGATTACGCAGAAGGGTTTTCAGCACACAAGCCAAAGCGTGGATATCATTCCATTTCTCGTTGCTAGCATCAATCTCACCCAGTTGCTAAAACAGTTAAATAAATGAGCATTATTGAGAAATCCGATCAAATGACAAAGCCCGGGCAAGTTCGTGAACTCACTTTGCAGAGTTCCGCTGCCATGAAATCGTGGGCTAACTTGTTCCCCGACACTCTATAGATGCCCACACAATTGAGACCGAATTTCTCCACCAATGTCACGCATAGCTCCACGACGAATGGTACAAACTGTGGTAAATTGTACATAAAGTAGAAAACCATCGTGTTTACTGAGTAATAATGAGCAGCAACCGCATTCGCCATTTTACTAATGGAGATTTCGGCTTCAACCGATTATGTTGAAAATGGAAAGTTAGAACTGACGATCAAAAATTCTTTTTTTTCTCTGCCAACTTTACTTGAGAATTAAAAGCTAAACCTAAATTTATGGATCAGAACCACACAAAATTGGTTTTTATGGGAAAAAGCCGCTCCACACCTTAAAAAGCCGCATTGGGGAAAAATGACAATAAAGCCGAAAAACGAGTGTTTCGAGTTATTCAATAAAACGACTATTTTGAAATACCTATAGTTTTTACAAGTGTGTTACTACTTTTTTCTTTGGGAGAAATGTCATCGCAAAAAATGTAAAGCAAATAATAATTATTGCACGCGAATTTCTACCTAAACGGACAAATCACGGTAACTTGTGCATGACTGCCTGACTCACGGCAGAAAATGTGCTTCGTGCGCATTGGTGAATGGGGAGGGAGCCAACCAGCGATCGCTCTGGGTGGAGAATGGGTGGATCTAGTAGGACGGCTTCGTGGAGGTCACCAGGTTCCGAGTCAATGCTCATAGCGGGATCAGTAGGTCTTCGGAGTAGCCTTCGGGCTGTCTGAGCGTTGAGTTCCTTTTGCTACCAGCAAAAAATAGATGTCTTGTGGATTTAAACATCATAACAATTACTACTAGCAAAGTTTCAGTACACTTTAATTCATCAACCCAAATTCATCAGTCCAGAAATGGATTTTTGAGAAAATTCATTATGAATGGGGAAGAGCAAAAAAAAAATCAAGAGCAAAATCATGTAATGCTATAATAGCTATAAAAGCTGCGCAAAAATAGCATTAGCCAGAGAGAGTTGTCGACTTGGCCAAAATGTGAGGAAAAGGCAACTGCATAAAACCGGGACAATTTCAAATCAGGCGAGACTGACAAAAGAGAGTGTTGCCATCGAACCTGATGTCGTTAAAGCGCAACAACCTCTTCGCATCCGCAATGGGCCTTTAAGTTGATAAACGGAACACTTAAAAGAAGTTAGCCGAAACGCCCAGGAATTTTCGGGCAATGTGTTTCTTTCTTTTGATAAGGAAAAATTTAGCCTCACAACTGCCTATAGCAAATGCGAATCTTAAGAAATGTGTGGATTTCTTCCTCCCATACTGTATACTACTAATTTTTAGCAAGCAAGTTTTAATTAACTTTCACCTAACCGAAATGTGAGTTCCCCATTTTTGAAAATCTTATTGTGTATATACCAAAAATGCAATTAATTTCTTTGGATAAAAGTCCTTGATTGAAAGTATTTAAGTGCATCTGAAGAAGATTTTCAAATGACCTTAACAGATCAGATGACCGCTAGGTGTGTGTGGACGTAAAAAAAATAGAGGATAGAAGATATTCAAGAGCTTTAAAATGTAATCCATACCGCTTAAAGCTGTTGGCAAGACTAAATCGTCTTAGAAACTCTAGAATAAGTCGAGCTTTTCTAACATGGCCGAGTCTTTTTTGTTGCCTCGAATAAGGTCACTTTACGCCCAAAGGCATGGCACCCGCATGCGCCATCATGTCATCACCGTGCCTGACCCGAAGCTTCGGATTCAGGACATCAAATTGGCTCATCACGTGCAGTTCAAGAGAGAAAAGAAAAATATTTGTGCTCACGGATGGGAATTTCATAGAATGGGAATTGCCCCATAAAAAAACGAGTTGACTCCAAATCTGGTGGAAAATTAACCATTTCCCATAGTCTTCCCAAAGCTCCAGTAAGTACTGACAATATCTCCAAATTTACGCCACTTTAATAAACTTTCCACTTAACAGCAGTTGAGGTAATCAGACTACTAGCAAAGGAACCGCCTTTTTTCCCTCCAAATTTTCTTTCTATTAAACAAAAAGCGAAATTTACCAGCCAATTTATAGAACTACCAAGCAAAGGGCAAGCAGCAGGAAAGAAAGCCGCCTTTTTAGAGCTATTAACATCACAAAGCAAAGTGAGTGTTGAAAAGGGAGGCAGAAAAAGTGAAAAAAAGCGAGATACCCGATTTAATCTCCAACGCACATAAAACACTTTCCAGAAGGACGCCAGTTTGACCACATCAAAAGTGTCACGATTTGGGTCTCTTTTTGGCTCTCTCTCTCTCTCTCTCTCTCTCCCTTTGTATTCCAATTGGTGAAATGATAATTAACACTGCGGAAATGCAAATGAAGGCACAATTTGACCTCGCTCAGATATCGGCCAGATGGGGATGCAATAGAAGAAAGAAAAAGATAAAAGAGGGCTCTCAAGTTCTTCCGAACCGACAAATCCACCCCACAAATAGGTGCCATAGTGAACACACTTGCTGACGGTTGAGTAAAAAATACGGAGAGAGGCAGTAACTTCACCAACAAATGCTCCAACTCAGCAAAATTTTGGGATATTTAGTTAAGGAAAACGGTTTTAAGGGGAAAAAATTACACTAGTAAGGACTAACCAAACTTAGAGGTTAAAAGTGTGCTTATCTCGGGATTTACCAACCTTATCACCCTTCATTTAACGAATCAAACTCCAAGTAGAATAAACCAATAAGAATTGAGCACAGCTCGACAAACGGCCTTGAATGATCCAATCACGGTGCAGATGGTTTCTCAGGAAATGGCTTGAAGAGAAGCCGTTGCAGTGACACGCAAGGAGTCAGAGCCAACAGCAGAACTTACAATGACCCGGTTAAATATTTATAAACAGAACTTTTTGTTCAGTAAAAATATTGAGGAAAAATTTGCCCGTAAAATGCAGGTTTCATGCTGAAGCTAAAGGCACGCCTTATGCACTTCAAATGTGTGGAAAAAAAAAATTCCAATGATTTTTTAAGATAATTAATTATGGACGGGTCTTAAGGACAAAACCTTTTTGTCGTAAAAAACGGAGTTCCAGTGCTTAGTAAATAAGGGAGCAACTCAAGTTAACCTGATTTAAACACTGAGAAGGTAAAATTAATTGCTGTAAAGTTAAGGAAAAAATAAAGAGAATCCGACCTCTCCGTTTCCAGAAAAAAGCTGGTGGATTTCTTTGGTAGAAGTAGGCAAACCTGCAAGCGACACTGATCTAACCACAAACATTCCCATTGTTTAAGTTTGCCTCTCAAGAGGGAGTCATTAGTTAAAACAGCCCGAATTGCCATGCTTGGCTAAATTCCGATGAGTCGTGTCTCAAATGTCAAATTCTTTTCCATGGAATGCACAAAAATATTTATTGGTTGTGGGGAGAATTTTATACAGTAGTGTTGATCCAACCGAATGGCCGAAATAATTTGACACCTTTTTAAGTTAAATTAATGTCCATAAAGGTTTGAACAAAGACAATTTCTTGCGAAGAAGCCCTCTGCTACCACTAGACGGATACCCTAGGCACAAATCAGTCGGCATGAAGTTGGCGAACACATGCCTCAGATTTCCGGAAGGCATGGGAGGAGGGGAAGGAATAAAAAGAACTCACAGAATGGGAAGTATTCATGATACCCGAGGTGACGGAGATGGACCTGGTCGCTGCGGCGGGTTCTAATCCTTTACCGGTGGAATGCTCCACAGGGAGATGCGACTGCTGCATTGTGGCGGTGTGATCGTCGGTGTCGTCTGCTCGGACACCGCCTTCTACGCCGGCTCTGGCTGCTTCTACGCTGGTACTAGTCCCACCACTCGCTGCAACCATGGCAGCGTCGACCACGGCCAATTGCATTGGCATGGTTACCGCCAGTTCATTGGCTGCGCCAAGGTCAAGAGCAATAAAATTGGGCAGGATCTATCGAATACCCTGTGTTGATGAAGTACATGCCCTAGTGTATAAGTGCTTATGTGGTTTTTCGCCTCATTAAAGTAATCGAAAAATACTTTAAATGAGGAAAATAACCAATTAAAATAAAACGCAAATATCATACCTTTGCCAAGAAAGTGGAAAGATCAATAGGTCCTAAAAGTGTCTTTTTTTTGTGAAGAGATGCAAATTTCCTGTCTGTTCTTGGAAAAACATGTACGTTATTTTGGGTTGGACATACTACTTATATCAACTAGTAGGTTAAACTCAGGTAGAATGACGTGTAACTTTCTGTACGGACGAAATTCCCTCCCAAATCGAGGGTACTGACTTGATAAAGGTAACAAAAGTGAGTCAAATAGTCTAACCACCAGGCAGTGAATAATCTGCCAAAGAGGTGGACGAAAAAAGGTTTGATATGTTTGAGATGGGCAATGCGGGAGTGAACAATTTGTGACTTCACATTAAAACGCCAAAATTGATTGACAAAATAACGCTGGGACTTGTTTTACTCTAAATTGCGGAAAGAGCGGTCTTATGAGTCCGCACAGGTTGAATATCCGACTGTTTATGTTGGTGCGATTAATGACGAATCGGCGGAAGACTCAGACGGTAGCGACAAGTGAAGAACAGTTGCATTTTCATTGCCTAGTCATCACATTGGAGAAGACTAACTAAGAGAAGGCTAAAACACCCTCCAGTATCGAGATCTACACACTAAAAGGCCATTGATGATGTTCCAACCAATCGTATATGGCCTCGAATGTAGATACTCTGAATTTTCCCCAGAGAAGCGACCTAGACCATAGCCATTTCCTATTTTCACTTCCAGACAAATTTCGGCACTGCAGGACATCATACGGTCTTTGGTTCAGACGCTGGGGTGGATTCTACCTCGAAAGGCTTTGTCATGGAGAGGATGTGGTCGTCAAGACTTCTCACCACATCTACAGTGTACATTATCGCTGGTAAGTAGCACCTTCCGATCCACCTTCAGGGCACACAAGGCAACCTGGTGTCAAAAGCAAAGAGTAATGGTGGAGGGGACTGAGGTTGTAGCTCAAAATGAGGAAGAGGAGTGTGCTCTTTTTAGCAGAGTCCACAGACGAGATGCGTGAAGGTGGTAAAGAGCCAATTGATAGGCCTCCAAATCACTTGTTACCTACTACTATTAAGGCTTAGTCGCCTCCACCACGGATTATGAATCGCTTTTCTCAGGTCATGCAGGTATCATCCGCTTCTTCCATCATCGCCCATGATGATCACCACTGATGGTTGCTCTTCACACGTTCATCTGTCGATGGCCTCCAATCACTTTGACGAACTCCTTTATAGTTGTGAAGGAGTCAGCTTCCTCCTGTACATGATGTGATGCATTGAGGCAAATCTGGTTGATGAATTCATCATCACCAGAATTCAGGCACAGTTTTACCGGAGATGGTACACCACACCTTCCTCCACTGCTTCATAACGAAGCTGACGAGAAGCGTTAACAGAGTTAAGGCAGAGATAGCCCTGCAGCGACAAAGCGACACATTCAAATCACATTTGTCAGGTTCAGCTGGCACTCGGTGATAAGCAAATGGTTGAAGGAAGGCAGAGCATGGAAGAGGGCCAAATGTGAAGGAATTTGGACTGACAGGCTGTCTCAAGTCTGTCAGATGCAATTCACACGTCCTTTCAAGTTACACCAATCACTGTGGCAATGTGAACAGTCAGAGGCGAGGACGTCACAACGGAGTTCTTTTTGGTCAGTCAGTCGACCGGTATGATTGAGTTGGTGGTCTGTGACGAATAGGCACACGACTGCCGACTGGGAATAGGGGACACGGAATGGTTCCACGCCCTGTCATATTCGTTTGTGAGGTAGTCCAGCTGAAGGACGTGAACTGAAGTGCTTGAAAATTGGACGCAGAGAGGAAAAACATTGCGGGATGCGAAATTGGACGGTTTTCTGTGGTTGTTGGCACCCTCAGGAGTGTTGTTCGCCACGACTGTACACACCAAGCATTGCCTAATTGACCTTTCCAAAAGCCCTACCTCCCCAACGCTGGACGGTAAGACGTGGTCGATGTGGTGATGATGCAACCTTGCGGTACTCATAAAATATCTGGAAGTGTTGAAGTGGGGTACACACAGGTGGCAATGTCATTCCCAAATGTGGACCTTGGGACACATGATAACTCCTGAGCGTTTGGTGTGTTTTTGCAGCTGCTGGAGACAATAATCAAGTACCACAAGGGGGTGTTCTCGCCCGACTTGGGACTAGAGAGTGGTTGTTTCATACCCGAGGACTGGGACAAGGCGTTGCTGACAGGCGAGGCGTTGGCGGAGGTAATGGCTGCTTCCTCACCCGGTACCGCACCCGGCCTCGAATTCCCAACCAACTGGTGGACGCCACCTACTTGAAATGGATGCTGGTGAATCTACAGCTTCTCTAACCCTCAATTTCCCTCGCTCAGTCATTAGTATCGACTTCAACAGGCGCTGGAATTTATTGGAAGTTGTGTTGGAAGACACCGAGTATCAAATCTAGTGTACTACTTTCAAGGTGATCGCCTCCTCTCCACCACTGGTTCATCAAGGACCATGTAATAACCGAAAGTACACTACAAGATATGCGGTGGCCAGAAAGTGATGATTTTGTGGGCAAAACCAACTCCGATATATCATGCAGGTACAACTAATGGTTGCTTTCTCCCTAACAAAGCGGATTCCTCAATGAATTCTTTTGTTATCCTTCTTGTAATAGCGCTTCCTAATCGAGAAAAGGAGTAAAATTTCCATTTCTTCCCCCTTAGGAGAAAGTTGATGAGGGATTAACCCTTGGGGTAAATTGTCTAGGTGATGTGAGGGATATGAGTTGCACCAGAGCCAGAAAGGGGGTGCAAATGACCTTACCATTGACAAGTACTTCATCACCGATGGATTGGATGAAGGAATTACTCGGCTCCAAGACAGCTGTCAAAGGTAGATGTAGTTGAGCATACTTCTTGTCCCGTGGTTCAACTTTACGGAGAGGCGCCTCTGAGTCGACATTCACGTCAGAGGGATGTGGGGACTGACAGGATTGATAGCTCCGATGGATCTACAAAGAAAGTGTGTTCAGGTCGGGTCAAGAGGTGGTGATTTGAACGCCGTATTGGCAAGAAATTCAAGGAGACCACAGTGCCCGAAAGTTCGGTAGCTTGGCAGTGACAACCTCAGCCCACAGTATGCTAGTCATTCATGGGAGGATTCAGCGCATGGAATGGATGATCGAAGACACCTTCTTGTGGAGTCGCAAAGGATTACGTTTTACGACTTTACTCTAATCGTAGAGGAAAATTCGCCAAGAATGGAGGGATTTGAAAGCAAGTTCAAGGGAATTTTCCGCAGCCGGATCCACACAAACCTACCTGGTCAAGTTTACGACGTCGTGGACTGGACTTGTCGTGGGTGAACGTCTGAGAGAAGTGCGTCAGACGCTGATGAAAGGCAGACCTGGAAGAAGTGTACGTGGTAGTGGTGGTGGCAGCAGTGGAGGTATCCACGAGGAGGATGGAGGAGGTGGTTGGAGCAGTAGTGATGGCACTCGGGGGACTGATTGAAGGGTTCACCTGTGCACCACCCATGGCAACTTGTCGCATACGCGCGAAAGTGGAACGCAGGAGGCTGCTCTTATGATGCGAGGATCCTACGTCCAGCTTAGGACTCGATGAATCTACGGAAACAGAGCTACACAAGTTAGTCGCACATTCAGTCTTCCGCGACACCACAACGAAGTGGAAAAAAGGATTAAAATCAAAGTATTGTGGACCTTAAAGAAACGCTCCTAATACTGAGAATTAACACACGACAGCTCAAAGCGCTAAGAAGGTTGGAAAAAGTCGCAGGAAAACTCTTCAATTATTCAGATATGCCATACGATGCATTTCTTGGTGTAAAATGGCGGCAGATTTGCTTATGCGTCAGAAGAACTGACAATTAATCAAATGTCAAGTTTTAAATTGGCCCACGTGACATGGCCCCTTGAGTTTTTTCCCCCTTCACGACCAAACCATGCATCTTTTCTAAACAAAATCTTCGGTGAATCCCTCCTTAGAATACGTACTCCGCCCTTATTTCTCCCATCCTTCCCCCCTCATCCCTATCCAAAGATGTGTAGAACACTCCACATTCCTTCCGAAATACGATGTAATTTGAGACCAAGATGTAAGTCGCCTTAATGACATCTCTCGCCATTGACAAAGCCGACAAGATTGCCAGGTGAGAAATTGTAAGGCATCGATGAAGTAATTAAAAACTTTATTCACTTGACATATTTGTTGACTCCCTTGATTGCGACATTTAAAAGGCGCCACTCAAAGTAACCGTTTGAAGAAAGGCGCCAAAAGAGATTGACCTAGGATAAACAAACCTTGGCACAGAAGTCCCACTTTCGGCCTCAATGAAAGGTCGGTTTAACCAATGCATCTGCAGGATATTTTTAGCCCCTTCAACTCTAGGTCACGATAAAGTGCAGCTTGACCTTAACAACTCGTACTAATTTCAAGTGGTGGACGATGGGAGTGTCCGCAAATAAAATTGTCCAAAATATTCCCGCCTAATGCCCATCAAAATTAACAATGGCTCAAGCTTATTTTCCGCATTAAAACCATCTATTTGAACAAAATCAATCCCACAGAACATCTCTCTTATTCTATGGAAACTATGAACAAGATATAGCTACTAATTTGGTCACAAACTTGCTCCTCTACAGGCTACATTACCAACTGGAACCCACGTGACTTCGCGTTTGCTCGACCATTTAAATGTTAGAAAAGGATTTTTTGTAATTTTGTGCCAAAGTTGACCACAAAGATATCTTTGATGAAAATTATTACGACGATCCTGCTAGCGCCGTGACCATGGGTGCATTAGTTACAAAACTTCTCGCCAAAATGTCAAGAAAGGTGTGGGGAAAGAAATAACGCACGTCCGATCTGGGTTTCAAAGGCACTGCTTTTAAGAATGCCAAAAAGCAGCGTGCGCCTTTTTCTCTCTTCTACTAATGGCAGAATTTCCATTTTCCTAATATGGACCTACTATTTTTGGGGGCGTGAATTTTAATTACCAATTCGCTATACTGCAAAACTGATTCGAAAGTTTTTAAAAAAAAAAGGAAAATAGCAAACAGCAGCTCGGAAGTGAGCAATCTTAACAAAGTTTAGTAAATGAAATGCTTAAAACAAAATATGACAAAGATACAAATACATTAGCAAAACAGTATGAATATAATTTTAAAGTAATGATTTGGCAACTTTTGAAAAATGAATGTTTAGTTATTTGCTTTTTTGCATTTAATTTATATTGCCATCAATATTTAAAACAATACTCAAGTAACCAATCAAGCTCAAGGAGCATAAAGGGGAGGCTTTAATGAGCCCTCAAGGCTGTGTCTAATGCGATTGGTCAAGGACGTAAGCCATGACAATAAAATTTCTTTTAGGGACATGTCCTGAAACCCTTTGTCCACCACCTACCATGAGGAGAAGATTGGATAGAAGTAGAACTGGCGCCAGATTTCGAGGCTCCAGAAGAGGATTTTTTCAGCGAAATTCGTGATTTCGTTGAGACGGGATCCAAACTTCCAGTTTGACTTCGGTTCATGTGGACACCGAAGCTGGCAGCCAGCGTCTCCGCGGCTACCATCAATGGAAATCCACCTGGCGGTCCGGCCACTCCAAGATTGCCTCCGCGATTGTTCTGACCGGAGTTGAAAAGACTGCTTATGCCTGTCCGACTGCTGTCGGAGGCTGTCTTCTGGCTGCTGGAAGACTCCGACTGATGGTGAGGAGGGGGAAAACACATAAGATTAGACCGAGTGTCTGGTGATTCCCGCCTATGGTGCAGTAAATCGGCTAAAGTGACGCAAGCACGGCATCAACACTGGTTACCTGCTATTTTGGTTAGTTACCAGGCTATTCCAATCGCGTCGTGCATAAATAAAACCTCATGCTCCTATAGGAATCCGGTTTTGGGCTTAGTGTAAGCTGATCAATGACACTACTGGTTAAGTCTGGCGGGCAACAGTTGCTTTGACCTGTATGGCATTTCAAACGAGGGCGGTTTGGGCTTCATCCGTTCATTTACTGCCAACAGTGTCATTAGGGATAACCCAAGTTCATACGGGCAAAGAAATTGACAACTATCCATTTGATTGGGTAAAGTGGTGTTTTTGTCGTGGGTGGGGCCGTTGGTCATTGAAAAAATTCTCTCTAAAGATGTTGAACTGAAAAGTCGAAAGCCTATTGGGCGATTTCTTAAGTTTTTACGGGTCGGTTGATGGCACGCCCTCCCAGACAACAAACCATTCAACTTTTTTGGCTTTATGGAAAGCTTGGGGAGGTATATTGGTGACAGCGACAACTGAGTCAGAAGCCTCTTTGTCAACTGGTCACCAAATTTGCGGGGACTTCCTACGGAAGGGCTAAAACGACAGCTTCTCTGGGCAGCGTTCCATCTTCGAGTACCCCTTTCCCCCTAAATCACAGTCAAGTTTATCCACTCGCAAATGGCCTCAAAACGAGGTGACTTGTACCATAGCCCGAGACAATGCGATTTTGTCTCGTTCTGTCACTTTTGGACGAATATCGTGATGAAAGGGAATGAAGGTGAAGACCGTTTTAGCTGTAGAACATCATCCAGCGTTTAGCATATCTGGAACGGAATGGTCCGCTCGTTAGGCGATGTGGTATTCCGAAATTGAGGGGGCCATTACCGGTGCTGTGACATGATTGGTCATAGCTCAGACAAGGACTTGTTACTGGAAATACAAGCTCATAGTTCAGTGACATTTATTGGGATGTGCATTTAGCTTTACGACCACTTCTGTCTTTGAAGGTTTTCCCACCACTTTAGCGGTATGGTCTTCCGCCTCCGCTGTTTGACACTCTGCCCTTATGCCTTTTAAGTTTTTGGGAAGGCTTGGACCGCAACATGTGCAAATGCAAATTATTTAACAATGAATCGCTAATTCGTAATATAACTTAAAAGTGAACAAACTACTGAAAATGCATTTGGAGGCCCATTAAACAAATATAAAACTTCCAACTATCTGAGAGTCACAAATTTATGCAGCTGGTTCAAACAAATAAAATCCCACAAATGCGGCAGAATCTAAGATGCGAAATAGAACGACTCTTAGCCAGATAAATTATTCATAAAAATCCTTCTTGAAGTTTGTGTCGACTGGAAAATGTTAATGGATATCAACGATTATTACCACCTTATCTTATCTACCTAAGGTTTACGGTGGTTACTGTAGTACATAAATAGACGGTAAATGGAGGATATGCTCCAAGCCAATTCAAAAAATGAATGAACCCTTTAAAGCCTATTTAATAGGAAGTATCAACCCGCTATTAAATGGGCACTTTCCATCCACTATTTGTGGCACCCGCTCGAAAACAAATATTAACTAAATACGACTAAAAGGGAACTCGTTTTTTCCCGATTCAATGAGGCAGGCGGGATCATTTGACCCTAAATTATGCGGATTCTCTCCACGCTACTAACGCGCGAGTCATTGTGAAAGGGAAGAAAATCGAAAAGAGGTTCCAGAAATTCTATTCACTGGTTAATTGCAGGAAGGACTAATTCTCTTCACGGATTTACACAGTCACAAATCGCAGTTACCATGGTAGATTTAGAGCAGTATGCAACATTCAAACTAACTGCCATGGAGACAATTTTGACTGGTCCCTGGGCGAACTTTAAATTGCCAAATTTAGAAAAAAAAACATTTCGAAATTCAATTGCATCGCAATTAGAATGAATAATTAAGGGTTTGTGGAATATCTTTCCAACTTACTATAAGGTGAGGTTAAAACGAACGATTCCAAATTTAACTAATTTATCATTATAATGTGCTAATCATGATTAAATGGCTTGGTTCAAAAATTCCATTTCGGAGATAATTAATTGCAATAAACAATAATTAACCTAATTCTGGCTGCTTTTCCCCACAATGCCAATCAGTTCCGTAGCATTAAACCGGTTATTTTAGGCCAAATGACCTATTTGGACGCCTATAAGGCTGGCGCAAGGTTCAATCCAGCCGGAAATTCAAATTACCAGCGTTCAAATGGATTAGAAATAAGGCCTTTATTAGCCTCACCTCACTTACGAACCAACTCATTCGCAAGCCGCAACGGTACATCCATTTAATAGGGTAGAAAGTGAGTAGACTCCACTACACAGCTTCGTATGTACCGACTACTCATCCATAGTTCGTGTGTAATGCAGAGGTATGTAAAATTCCAGACACGTTTGCGTGCGCGCGTTTTCTGCTTAGCCATTTAAGAGGCGCTTCTGTGAGTGATCAGAATTTTAGACAGACAAATGGCATTGGCTACTGACTTTATTCCAATCAGCCCATTCCCAGTCCCCTTCTCGCTTTCGTCCCGGTTGCCTGCGCAACTCTGTTTAGTTTGCCCACTCTCGCTACCCTTTGACACTGCCTTGTAGCGGGAGTGCACACACGCACGCACACACAGGAAAAATGCGTGCGTGGGTACACTGAAAAGGGACCATCGCTAAACTCCCACTGTATGGGCTCAAGGTTGCTTGTTGCTGGCATGGGAATTATCGTTGCTTGCAGAATGCACAAAAATTTCCCTTCTGTTGAAAAGTTTCTTCTTTTAAGCAACTTTTTAACTAAGTATGATAAGACACTAGAATTCAGCGTGACGGTATGCAAATCTTCCACAAACTCATAAATTTAACAACGAAGTTATTTTTAGAGGCAAATGTCTTTTTAAGTTGAGGCAAATTTCCAGACATAAAGTATCCAGGGTTTGCCATCAAATTTCTCCAATTTTATGTCCTCTAGATAAGTGAATTGCATAAAATTTGGGGGTTTACAGTACTTGCGAAGTCACTACGCCTTGAAGTTAGCTGTAGGACAGGACTTGAAAAATTAGTTTTCACTTCATCAGGTTCTCAAAAGCAGCGAATTACTACTTTATGAGGAGAAGAAATGATTACTTGGAGGATTGAGGGGAGCGAAAGGCGGAGAAGGAGTAGGAGGAAAGGTGTGGAGTTCCTCAGGCAACCAGCAAAATTGTAGACTAAGCATCAACTCCTCGCACATCATAGTTGGGGATAATTTGATGATGAATTTTAAGGCATTAAAGCTCAAAAATATGCTTTTAATCAGCGGGCAATATTCTTGGGCCAATCTCCACAGCCTAAGATCTCCCGTCAACGGCTTGTTGTATTCTCCCGTTTTGGTGGGGTATATTACGATTTCAGCAAAGACCAGAGAGGAGGTGGCTGAAAATGTGGAAATTTTCCAAAATAAGGGTTAAAATGGCGTCTAGTGTTGATATGCCCCCCATTCTCGCGATCTTCGCGGCATCATAACAAGTACGACCACCTACAGTAATGCGGTGAAGGTATGTGAATCGCACAATCAAACGATGCCTCCCTACCCTACTGTTTGAACGGTACCCAGATAGACGGCAGGAGAATAATTAAATGCGATCGAAGCAGCGAGGAGGAATAGATGGCGATTTGCAAAGTTGTATGATGTCAAGAGGTAAGTAATTTGGTAAAGTCGTTGTTATGGAAGTGGGAGAGTGATCAAAAACGGCCCCAAAGCCGGGACTCAGAGGACACAAGGGGCTATGTGGTGATACGCCACTGGCATTACAGTGGTGGTAAAGTTCTGTACCGGCGTCTAGGCCTCTCCATACCTCCTCCTCGATACTGAGGTGGATTATTAGAAGAGGGAGAGAAATTCCGTGCACAACAAAACTTATTTATTTGACGATTTTTACCTAATTTAACAACTCAATAATTGGAAAAAGATAACTTTTCACCTATGGATTCCCCCACTTTTCTACCCAAAAAGTCCTTCGAGCCAAATATGAGAATTATTAATGCAAGGACTTCAGTTTGGATGAAAACGAAGGAAGAAGGATTGAGAATTTCTCAAAACAACTTCTTAAAATAGCATTGGAGACAGGATAATTTATTGCGTTCATAGCGCCACTTCAAGAATTGCGCAGGAAATTACATGAGGAAAAATGCAAGAGGATGTAAAACATTCCCGAACTAATCACTATAATTAGGAAGGAATTTCGTAAAAATATATAGCTCTACACCGTCCCCTCCCCCAAAATTGGGCAAATTTTTTCGCAAGTTGTTATAAACTATTGAAAGAATTCAAGCGCCTTGTGGCCACCAGATTTGAATTAATGTCCAAATTCCACCATCTACTTTCATTGCGGAATATTGTGACAGGTAGAATACAAAAACAAAATTCACGCTTTCTCGAAGAACTATTTGCAATCCACCGTTACCCATGACACGTAAGAATGCCACTTTCCTATTTTTTAATGACGAATTTTTAGGGCAAATATTACCGCCTACTTAAACTAATTAGCAGAACTAGAAGCCATAAATTCCATCGGCTTTTAAGACAGAAATAACGTCTTACGCAGGAGTATCCTATTTCTTCGCGTCTTAAATTTCACCAAAAACGTTACTCCGGTATTACAAATATTCCTTTAACCTGGAAATTATTTGATTTTTCACTGATATCAAATCCAGGAGATTTCATTTAAACAAATTAAGTAGGAGATTCTGTTCAGATGAACGTTTGGATTCAGAAGGGATCTTTGTAGAGAGAGATGTGTAAAAGATGGATGGAAGAAGAGGGTGGGATACGGGATAGGTAAATTCAGAATGCATGTATGCAGGATGGAGTGGATAGATGGATGACAACGTATTTACCAGCAGAATTTGAAAGTATAGTGCTGGATGATACCGAAAAAGGCAGTATTTTATTTCACGGGATTTCAAAGCTTCTTGTGTCCCCAAGCACAGCAAAACGTTAGCCCAAGAGGGAAGTTATTCAATAACACCGAGGTTATCCATTTCCTTTACGAAACGTTGCACGGACATATTACGACTTTACTTAAACAAATTAAGTAGCGTGAATTTTACGCATCAGCTTAGCACGAGTGTAGCGGTGTAAATCCGCAGCTAAGTTGAATGAATTTTTTCCATCCTTAAATCACGCGTAAATGAGGAAAGCGCATTTAGGTCCCCTATAGTTCAGGATGCTAAAGCCCCTGTTAACAAACAGACCTCAATATAAAGAAGGCGAATTAGTGAATTGTTACGCCAAAAATCTGTGTTTTGGCACACTTTTGTGAACACAATAAAGACAACTTGCCACTTTCTTGCCAACTTTTGGCTCTCATGGAATCGAAAACTTGGTCACATTACGCAACACCTCGGTAGTGATGGCTTCAGTGGGTGAATTTGACAAATTCACGGTTAAGTAAGGATGGGAAAACACCTAATTATCAGAAAATCATAGCCTATTGTTCGTAAGGCTTATCCAGCAAGGTAAAAGCTTACTGCAACCTCTACTCTTACAATACTTTCTGCCTAATGAGTCATAGAAAATGGAGTATAAGGTGAACCCTCTGCATCCTCCACTCGTATATTCTCTTTTAGATGTAGTCATACGACCATTTAAGAACGGGACGTGCTGGTGACCATCGTACAGCAAGACATTTTATCAAGTCGTGGGATAAGCTGTGTCACACACCCTTTCATCATTAAATTTTGCAGCATGCGATATGAGGTCTAGCATATCTGAAGACTTTCATGGCCCTGTCCGAGGAAGATTTTACTTGAACCCCTTCAATGTAAGACGTAATTATTGCCTGGTCTTTAGGAAGTGAGTGACACCTAATGATCAAATGCTGCAGCAGAACAACGCAATCATAATTTATCTACTGAGCGGAGGAAGTGGTGGGTACTTTATAACTGTGGAATCGGGTTTTTGGGGTGGACAATGGGAGAAAACAAATGACGCACCCGCGAAGCGAAGTGTATATCTCCCCTATCACCTCTCTCAAATGTTCTGCATCGTCTACAGGAACGTTACGAGACCTTAACACAGAGCTCACTTTTCTCAAGTCACTTGCACTGGATAAGAACCATTTAGGTCGAATTGATGATAATCCTGGAAGGTGAACAAGAGGCCAGCGCAGATAAAATCCCCACACACCTAATAGTGGGTTTTCACAAATTCGTTTCACTGTCCGGTAGAAAGTGAGTCAAAAGAAAAGAGGGAAAGAAAAACGAAGTTACAGCGCTACCGACAAATGAATTACCTCATCTGTAGGATACACCAGTATCTTCACTATCAACTGCTCATTAAATCGAATTCAGCAGTCATTTCGGTAGAAGAGTCCTTTGTTTTAATCTAACATACCGCAATGCACCGACTAAACTTCCTTGCCACTTGTAAAAATGGTGTTTGACTAGAACAGCGTAAGCGATGTAAAAAGTCCACCTCTACGATAAAGAGGGTAGCAAAGATCAGAAACGGATATGCCATATAACCGATCCTCCCCGTTCTCCCTAGATAAGTCTGTTGCCATCGACAATGCAGGCAAGAAATTTCCAAATGGGCAATATTGACATACCGAAAGACCCTTCAATTCAGCAATCACGGTTTCCAAGCGTTGATCCTGCTGAAGGAAGTACATTCGACACGTGTAGGCGGGCTCAGATATCTCCTCGTCGCGTACTCGGAAGGTACAGCAAAGCGGATACAATTGGCTAGACTGCAATAATCCACAATTCATGATGGAGCGTAAATCCATGGCAGCGACATCGGACCAGGTCAATTCACAGTTGGACAGCGTGTGACTCCAGCTACCCTCGCAGAGGGACGGCGGAGTTTTTGACGGCTAGGAGAATGAAAGGCCACTTCTGCTTAAGTATGTAGAAATAAGGTTTGAGTCATTGAAAAGCTTAAAGCTTTGCAAAATTGATTTCGTTTAGGTCTTTACTTCCAATCAATGCTGTGATTTAGCAATGGTCAGTATATGCTACTGAAATTTACTTAAGCAGCAAACATGAAAACTGACTACTTTCCGAGATGTTTAACTCTAAATGCGATATGAGATGAAAAAAATACATTTTTGATTCTGAAGGTGATGTTTGCCCAAAAAATGTTGAATTTTCTTATTAAAATTCAGTTCACTGATCAGTCAAACGTTTGGCTAGTACTTACATGGAATTGACACCTGTTCAAGTGTACGCCTAACAATGCAATATCTCCAATCTTCGCGATTTACACTGCTTTATATGCTGTTTAGTGCCGTGATAATATGATTGGAGCACTGAATTAGTGTCGAATTTGAGTCAGAACATCCATAAGGCACCAGCACTATGCCCCAATTTCACACTTCCCCGAAACAGACATACGAAATTTGCAGCAGAAAGTGGGGAGACCCATCGTGATCGGAGCAGCAGGCTGACCACGAGAGCTAGGAATGTCTCTCAAGAGCAAGGGTCTATAGGGTAAACTGACAATGTTTAAATCTGTATTTAACAGCACAGAACCTTCGATCGCTTCCAGACCTGCGTCACTCTGTAGCATGCGTCTAATAGGTATCCAGGCCTCCCTTTACAACAATGGAAAACTACTCTTCTAGAGTGGTTTGTCTTTTCACCACCCCAAAGTGGCTGGGTCGGGTAAACTTTAGGTATAACTACGTGGCCTTGAGTGCATTAAATCAAACCACGGAAAAGTAGATGGCAATGCATATAAATCGGGATCAGCATTGATGTCCAGGAACTGGTAGCCTCTTTATTTGATGGAAGTGATTGTTTACACACCAGTAACATAAACATGACATTAAAGGGCCGTTAAAGATAGGCACGATGGGTTCATTCGTCTGCCACAGAACCCAAATTCGTTTTAAAAGTCATTATCAGCGCAACTGGGAATAAACTGGAATTAGCTGCAGCAGCTGGATTTTTGCCAAAAGTTCTTGAAAAGTAAGTTTGTTACAAAAAAAGTCTGCTCATTTTTTCTGAAGTTTTGCAGAGCAATTAAGTCAAAGCCGAAACAATAGAGATTAATGTGATTCGATCCTGAAGAAGTTGTTTAAAAAGCTAGGAGACCAAAAACCCCCGGCTTTGAACGGACATTTGGATAAATTTTAGTGAAATACATAATTCTAAGTTTTAAAATCCCACAATTATATCCACAACTGGTTGTCACCTAAAAGGTGTATTCAAACAAGTACGCATCACATATAAGAATAACTCTTTAATGGACCGGCAAAGACAAAAAGTCCTAACAACTTTGGACTTTTTAAATATGCGAAAACCTCATGAATTCATTAAAAAAATCTCTTGAATAAAGAATATTAAGGGTAAGGGATATCAAAACAAATTAAGGAGAAAAGCTAGTAGTAGAAACGGCCTGTCAAATAGCAAATGAAAGGTGGAAGGTACTCAAGAATTGCCGAATTCTGAGTAAAAAGGATCGAAAGGCCCTCTCCCAGAGGGAAACGCTTTTGTTGAAACGAATTTTTTGGGTTCGAACGCAAAATTCTTCCTTTGATAGCCCAGTAAAGAATCATGAGTCGACAACCCTTGAGACAAACACGAAATCCTTCTGCACCTGTGAAAAAAACTTGCAGAAAAATTGAAAAAGTACTGCAGTTTACTCAGCAGGTTCCTCGGGTGATTGAAGGTGTTAGTGGTGCTTTCCCTAGAGCCCGATCAAATACCTCTTGAATCCGTCAGTTGAGTCCGATGAATGTGAACTTGTCTAATTTGCAAGCAAAATTCACCCCGGTTCAAAAACATTTGGAGTTCTCTGTCAGTAATTCGGCGTGACATTTGGAGGTATGATCTGCGGTAGCAGAGCAAATCCCCAAGAAATAATGATTCCGGTGACAATGTATGACTGAGAGAGAGATAAAGAAGAGACATAGCACATTCAGGAAGATCCTGAAGAATTACGCGCTACTAGTTGGAGATTAGCGCATCAAGATCAACGCTCAGGTGACAATTTTCTCTAATCCTTTCACTCCTGTACGTCCGCATCAATGGCCTCCTTCAGTAAAAACCAGACGACCCTTTTGGAGAGCTCTTAGATTTGACTTGATAGACTCAACCGTCTTTTTAAGGACGTAGTTATGAATGATGTCCGTTTCGTGGAACCTGTTTCGATGTTGATAGATGCTCCTCATGCATTTCTTGCCTCGATATTTTGGGGACCGATTGGTCGTGAGTAGGCGTCCGCACGATCAATGGACATTAAGTCATGATGCATGAGTATAAAGCCGGACCTCAGAATGGTCGTAACCTATCACTACGGCGGCCCGGGAGTATGGGGGTGTATACGATTCTTTAATCAGAAAATGTTCTACAAGGCATTGAAATCAGTCACGAGGGCGAGCTGTCATCCACAAACCATTATGTTGAACTTCTTCAGCCTGAAAGCGATGGCTAGTGATTATTACAAAAATCAGGGTTCTGGATTCGTGCAAAATGGCCTCCCATGACCTATCGGGTGTTATATAGACGGTTGCAGTGTCACTACTAAACGCCGGCATCCTTTTCATGGCGGCTGTCATCTAAATCAGGTCTTTGTCATTCAAGGTCTACTCATCGTTGTCATCTTGACGGTGCATTTCGCCGGACAAAGACGAAACTCAAAATCGCTTAGATGCTGTACCGCGATCATCATCGGTCTTCACCGATACAAACTTCCCCGTTGTGGTTTACTTACTCCGACAGGTCGTCAGAATAGTATTTTACTTCGAGTGCTTCAAAGTCATGCAAATTGATATCTGACGATTGGTTCACAATCTTGCTTCAGCTTGCTGCATAATTGTTCTACCATGTGGGCAAATCGAAGCATCTGGCACAAAAATGCCTCCTCAAAGGGCAAAGTTGTGTGTCATCCTGGCATTCTGAGGGTGGCTTCCGTTAAACTACGCCACATGCGGTCAATATGACACATTGAAATGATCCGGCTGTATCAAGCTTCAACTCTACTAGGTACCGAGATTCTGCTATTCCGAAGTGGAGAACGACCGCTGAGTCTCTATCATAAGTGGTCAGAAGTCGAGTACCTACAATGAAGTTGTTTTGGAGCATGATTCGCACCTTGAAGAGTTCACATTCCTTGATAGCTTCGACAGCTTAGGTGGTTCTGTCACTTGTGAGTCCTTTACGATAACACACTGATCATAGAAGCCTGCTTCGTTAAAAAATACATTGTTGGTACATCGTTTGTGCGAGGTAGTGCAATGCCAGCGTTCTATCTCCTTGAGACTTTACTATGACTGGAAATTCATTGGAAAGTGGCGGAACTT